TATATTAATAAGCTTTCTATAAAATAATTAACTTATAATCCTTATCTTTTCTATAATAAGTAATTCTTTAGAATTATTAGCCTTTAAACTAATAATACCCTATTTATTAGAAATAATAATTTTGTAAAAACGAAGTAACTAAAGCTCTAAAAGGCTAAGTTCTTGGCCAAGAAATATAAATGCCTTATTATTAACTATAATCTCAAGTTTAATAAAGATATTATTTATATAAATACTACTAGAATTACTCTTATATAGAAATACTAATATAAAAACCTTCGAACTATTTCTATAAAAAATACTACTACTATAAGTAATAGGAATACTATTTATTAAGATCTTTCTATTAAGGACTAATATATTACCTAATATACTAGAGAAGTATATATTATATTAGTCTATTAACTAGAAGCTTTATATAACCTATTAATTACGGCTTAGGCTATTAAATTCTCGGAAACTAATATAAAAACACTTAATAAGTATATTTAATAGCAAATTAAGAATACTGCCAGAAGACTGAGATTTATAAAGCTAGTAAAAAAGTCTTTATATTTAATTATTTTTACGAATACTTTATTTATAAATAATAGAGATCTTTTCTCCTAAATCGAATATATTCTAGTTCTAGTAAACGGAACTAGATATACTAATATTATTTACTAGTTCTCTACTAAATACAAGAGAGTTACCAGAAGTATTCTAGCTTTAGAACTCTATAGTATGGCTTATGGTTTTAATATAGGTACTTTAGTTAAATCTATAATTAATAGAATACTAGAAATAGAACTATTACTAGTAGTCTATACGGATTCAAAGTCATTATATAAATGCCTCGTCAAATTGGGAACTACTCGAGAAAAGTATCTAATAATTAATATAATATGCCTCTACTAGATATATAAATAATAAGAGATTACAGAAGTTAAATAAATTAAGGGAGAATTAAATCCTGCTAATTCCATAATAAAATCGAAGCTAATAAATGCCCTCAAGTACCTAATTAATACAAATACTATATAATTAGATATAGAGAAATAGGTTAAGTATAAATAGGACAGGAAATAAATATATAGAATAGAAGGATATTATAGGAAGGAAAGTTATATATAAAAGGCTATAGCCTTTAGTATATAACCAAAACCTCAGAAATAATATAAATATATAAAGTATTAGGAAATCTGGTACTAGGCCGGATTAGGGAATTTATATGTAATTGGAAAGAGATACTATTTTTTGCGTTTTTAGAGAGTTTCTAGTATTAGTATAGCTATTTCTTTGGGAGTCACGTGCATAGTTACGGGATACGGGATACGGGATATGGGTAATAGAATATGAGTAATAGGACATAAGTAATAGAATATAGTTATATAACCTTATATCCCATTAGTAACTCGACTAGTAAACTAGACCCCTTTAGGCTTAGCAGATTTAGGAATTATATATTAATACTATAATACTGTAATCCTTACTTTTAAATAATAATAACTTTACTAACCTTATATAAATAGTATTCTATAAATACGTAATAGTACTATATATTACTAGTAAACTAATAATAACTTACTAATATATTTTATTATCTTACTATTTACTAAAAAACACCTTATAACTAGTTACTAGTAAAATAACTAGAGAGTAAAGCTTATTCTTACTAAATTTATATATAATAACTTTATATATTTAATAATAGAAATTTCTCTATTCTATATATTATATAAATTCTATTCTAATATTAAACTATATATTAAAAATAATATTCCAGAAAAAGAAATACTAGTAATATAGGAAAAAATATAGAGGATTTAAGTAAAATAAAAGATATTAGAAAAGTAATAGTAAGAAGTAGTAAATATATAAAAAAAGTATTATAATAAGAAATATATTAATAAAAAGTTTAATATATATAATAAAGTTATACTTTATATAAAGCTAGTAAATAGATATCTTAGCTTCTTTAAAGTTCTAGAAGTTATAGAAATATATAAATAAATATATTACTTGAAATTATTACTATTATATTAGATCTATAATATTTTTTATATTTCCTTTTTAGAATAATAATATTTATAAGCTAGTACTATAATAGAACTAGAACCGGTCGAGATTAAGGGCAAAAAGAAATTTGAAGTGAAATCTATTATAGCCTATAAGAAAAATAGAAAAAGAAAGAAGTATCTCGTTTATTAGAAGAGCTCCTTACTACTAGATAATATATAAGAACTACTAAGTAATCTAGAGAATATAGTTTAAGAATTATAAGAATACTTAGAAAAGAGTAATATTATAATACTATTAACTAAACGGAAATATAAAAGATAAATGCTTTTATTAGAAAACTATTAAGAACTTTAAAAACTCTAATTTCTATATTTTATAAATATTTTATTCTTATAACTATTTTTTACTATTCTTATTATTATTCTTATTAGGATTCTCTCAAAAAACAAATAGTAAATTAGTTTATAAAACTATTAGTTATTAGTAAGAAATAAGGAAAAAGTAAGCTTACTTAATATTAAAGAATATTAACTATATTATTAAAAGCACTTTGTATTTATATTAAGCTAATAAAAATTACTTAATCTATTTCTTAGATTATTAGGGAAATTTATTAGCCTTAAATAATAGCTTTAATATGAGAAATATATATAGTTTAGTATAGAAAAAGGGCAGTAATAGTCTTCTTTCTTTTAGGCAAAGAATAAGGAAAATACTTATATATATTAATAGCTTAAAAAAAGTAGTTTAATTATATTATATATATTTAAGAAATCTTAAATAATATTAGAATAGGAAATAAATAAAGGAATTTATAACTTATAGAATTATATTTCTTATTCTTAAAGTAATAGTAATTATATACTAAGTAATTATTACTTTTAATATAAGTAAGATTAGGAAACTTAATAATATTCTTGGAATATTAAAAATAGTAAAGGCAAATTAAGGATATAAAAGTATTAGCCAAATAAGTAGTAATAGGCTAATAAGTACTAAGAGAAGTATTTATCTTAATAAATAAAGAAGTAAAAGAGGAAATTAGAAATAAAGCTTAAATAAAGCTTAAAGAAGGAAAAAAAGAAATAAAGAAAAGCTAGATATAGTATTATAATTAAGGAAATAGAAAATTAATTAGTAGAAAAAGAAAGGCCTTTTTATAATATTTTTTTCCGAATAGTAATTATAAATTCGAAACCGGCTCTATACTAGAAATATCCAGAAAATTTCAAAGAAGGAATTTATAAATAAACCAGAAGATTAGATTAACTTTTCCAAGCTTTTAGGCCTATAAAGTAATAATTTATTTATAAATAGAAACTAAGTTAGAATATATAAACTAATTAGAAGACTAGAAAAGCTTTATATCTAATAGTATATACTATACCTATATTACCTTTATAAGAGGGAATTACTAGAGGCAATTTACAAGTTAACTAGGTAAGATTAGTAAACTATATCCTTAGTTTTATTATCTAATATAATAATAAAGTAATTATAAAAAGTTTTTAGGGAAAACTAGTAGCCAGAAAAGTTTCAGGGAATTATTTATAAAGTTATTTATAGTTTTCTCAGGCCTTTTAGAAATAAGGGCCTAGAAAAGAAGTTAATATAATAGGTATATATAATAGTATATAAATAGATATTAGATATTATAGATCTAGTTTTCTATTTTAGGTAAAGCTTATAATCGGAATTATATAAATAATCGGAATTATATAAATTATATAGAATTATATTTCCTAGTTAAGTAAAGTACTTTATAGGCTTAGCTAAATACTAGGAAATATATAGAGAAATGCTTCTAGCTTTAGAAAGGGGCATTAATTAGTTTTTTATTAGAATTAATTCTTGGAATTAGTTATATTTATAAGTATTACTCTATAGCTTACTTATCTTAACTACTTATATATTACCCTGCTATTATATATCTTATATTCTTTCTCTTTCTTCCCTTATTCTCTTTTCTTTATATTTTCTCTATCCTATATAATAATTCTTTTTAAAATATATTTTTAAAGTATTTATTTTATTTTAGCTAAATTTATTATATATAATTAAATTTAGAGAGGTTATATTAAAAGACTTATAATTCTTATAATTAAAAAAAGAAGTTTATTAATAAGTATTTGAATTCGCTATATATTAAATAGTAAATTAATAAAAATTGCTTTTAATAAAAATAATTATAACTTAAAAATATAAAGTATATAAAAAAATTAATAAATTAATAAAAAAATAGAATTCTATTTGGGCTTTTATTTATTAATAATATTAGTTACTTAAAAAAAGATTAATTTCGAAAAATTAATTAATACAAATTATTATATATTAAAGTATAATAATATAATTATTTATTAGAAAAAGAAACTTTTAATAATTTCAAATAATATTACAATATTAAAACGAATATATAATAAATTTAAATATATTTTATTAGTAAAATTATTATTATTTTAAATCTGAATAATATTAAAGAAAATGTATTTAATTATATTTAATTTAAATATTATTATAATATAATAAACTTAAAATAAAAAGATAAATAATATATATAACTTTAAAACTAGTTTTAAGCTAAATGAAATAATATAATTATAAAACTTAGTACTAATAATTTAAAGATTAAAAGATTTAAATTAATATAAATATTATTAATAAAACTTAATTATTATTTTTATTAAATAATTCGAATCTTATAGCTTTTATAAAATCTTAATTTAAGCTCATTAATTGTAAATATATAATAAAGTTATAATATTAATTTTATTATATAAGTGTTTTTGTTTTTAATTATAATTAAAATAATAAAGATTAAATATATAATTTTTTTTAATAACAGATTTAAATAAAAACTAATTCTTTTATATGTTATTTTTTTACTAATATAATTCTCTTTCTATTAACAAGTATTTTCTAATGCATTTAATTAATAAGAAGTCATGCGGTTCAAGATGTAATAAGGTGGTAGTAAGAGGTAAATATAATTAGTATTTCTCCTACTCGTACTCTTCACCCTGCTCTGCCTTGTTCGTCCTGCCACCAAGGGGGATCATCGATTGAGCTTCCGTACGCCCCTCCCCCAAACAAACCACGCGTCTTCCTTAAGCTGTTCAAGCGTGAAAGCTGGAATTTTAATTCCATGCAAGTCATCGCAATTCACGTACTCGCTCTCCTCCCTCAGCACATTGGTCTGCGCCGTCGGGAAAAACCCCGTCGGCTGCTCATACTCGTAGACCGCGATAAACTTCCCCTCCGACACAATTTTCTCATCCCCAGAGATCCCGAGATCCTGCAGGTCCAGCCCTGGAGGGCATGCTGTCCATGTATGTGGTACACCAGGGCCAATGAGGACCATAGTGTTCGGTGGAACAACATATATCTCCCCGCTGAGCTCTGCGAGTGCAACACCATTCATCACTAGAATTTTCTCCACAATATACCGATTGCTATGGCCTGATGCTTTGGGAGACATGTGTACATGTCGTGGCATCCTAAGGTTGACGTCAAAGGAGAAGATGCCGTGCGGACCACAGAAACATGGCGTTTGGGAATCAGCCTTCCCTCCTGGACTGAACACTTGGAGTTGGCCTGGGATGTTCAGCTCTGGGGGATAGGCATCCTTTACCATCACGCCTTCACCGTGGATGATTTTTGATCCGTTGGGGAGCGTAAAGCCATAGTCGAAGGCTGCTGCCGCCATGATTTTGCGATGTGAAGCAAGAGTTAGCCTGGATAGGAGGTATTTTGCGGCGGGATGCAGCTGAGTGATGTATTGGAGAAAATTGTGATGACTTTGTATAGATTGTACTTTCAGCATATATGTTGTCCGCCGTTCTTACTCGTACATGTATTGCACCACCATCAGTCATCTGTTGCAGTCCGATTGTGCTTTATAATCAGGGATAATTTTAGAGGCGTTATCACAGCCTTCAATTGCGGGTACGATGGCCCACTTCTGTAATCACAAGCTCCGCAATTGACAGGTGCACCGTGATCTCGGCTATATACCATCGGATAAGACTCCATGCAACTAGACGAAGCAGAGTCGGAAGGCAATGCTTCCCCAGATCTTATTTCCCCAGATCCTGGTGCTCCAGGTCTGGGACATGTAAGCCGATGCCCCACCTGGATTGAATACCCAGTGCCATGGGCTTGAGCAATGCATCCTAATTCGCTCTTGCTTATGACAAGTCAGAACGGGGAAAAGTATGGGATAGCTGAAGTATCACATTTCCTTTGAAATAAGATCCTCAATATTCCCTCCTCCTCTCCCTCGAGCTAAGTTTCATCGCCATCATCACGCAAGTGACTCTTCCACACCTTGACATCTTAGTTCTTTCAAGAATCTTGATATTGCACCTTCGACAGAGTATGTCTAAAGACAACCAAGCCAACATTCAGCATGTGGAGTCATCCGAGTTGAATACCATTCCCGACCCCAAGGCACATGCTCTCGAATATGACGCTGCTTACAAGAAGCGTCTGACTCGGAAAATCGACATGCACCTTATGCCGCTGTGCGCTTTCATCTATCTTCTCAACTATCTGGACAGGTCCAACATTGGCAACGGCAAGATTCTCAACCAGGAAACGGGCGATTCGTTTCTCCAGAAGACACACATGACTACCGCAGACTATTCACTGGTCCTCACCATCTTTGGTATCGCCTACTCTGTCTTTGATGTTCCTTCCAATTTCATCATGAAGCGATATGTCAAGCCTTCGCATTGGCTTGGGTTTTTGATGTTATGCTGGGGCGTTCTCACTCTAGCCTTTGGCTTTGTCAAGAATTTGAGCACTGTTATTGGGTTGCGCTTTCTCATCGGAGTTGTTGAGGCAGGCTTTTTCCCAGGTAATGATTATAAACGCCTCTTCCCCTGCTTGTGAAATTCAGCTGACGTGTGCCTGTTCCAAGGTATTGTATACCTTATCACCTTTTGGTACACACAAGAACAGCGATCACTCCGCATTGCTTTCGTTCTTGCCTCCGCATCTCTTGCAGGGGCTTTTGGAGGGTTCATTGGGTACGGTGTCGGCTTCATGAATCGTTATGCCGGCCTCGAGGGGTTCCGCTGGCTTTTCATCATCGAGGGTCTCATCACCATTGTCTGTGTTCCTCTCGTGATTTTCGGCTTGCCAGACTGGCCGGCAGTGGCTAAGTGGTTGAGCGATGACGAAAAGGCATGTATTACGGCTCAACTTGAAGCACAATCTAGCGGCTTCACGAGAGAACGTGCCAGTCGACGAGAGGTTTTCGAGACATGCTTCACTCCTCGTATGGTTGCTCATTATTTTGCCTATGTGAGTATACGACAACACCCTCGCTTTCACCACTTTCAATGGTCCAATACTAATAATTCTAAAGCTTTCAAATACAATTGTTCTCAACTCGTTGGCATACTTCACTCCCACCATTGTCGCACGTCTCGGGTACAAGTCGATTACTGCACAACTCATGACTGTCCCTCCCTGGGTTGTTGGCTACGTCGTTTCCCTGGGTCTGGCATATTCTGCTGATCGCTTCAACGCGCGCGGGATCCACGTTGCGTGCGCGACTTTCTTGAGCGGCGCCGGTTTCCTGGCCTGCTGCCTGCTCCCAGCCGATGCCTACGCGCAACGCTATAGCTGCCTCTACCTCATCGCCTGCGGGGCCTTCCCCAGCGCTTCTCCCATGGTCGGCTGGGTTACATGCAATGTTCCAAGCCAAAGGACCATGGGTCTCGCTGCGGCCATGAACAACGCAACGGTGGGCATTGCATCAATTATCTCGGTCTGGATCTGGCCTGCGTCTGACGCTGCCAAGAATTATCCAACGGGCAACATCGTGTGTGCGACGGCCAGCTTCATCACTACGGCTATTGTGATTGGATTACGTGTTCATTATGGCAGGTCGAACAAGAAGGGCGCACTCGATGCTGCTGGGGTTCAGCGAGTCTGGGCTTATTAAGCTTGCTGTTAGTGGAATGCTCTTTCATGCCATTGGTAATCTGTTGTGGAGATCAATTCTGGTACTAAGACAGGGTTGCGAGTATTTATGGGAGAAATTCATCAATAGGATAGGATAGTTGCAAAATTATGCCGAAGGAAAACTCACGATCCCGAAAGTTGTTCGCCTCAAGAGTTCGCATTTGAATAGTCAATCAATATAGTCAAATGCGAGATCACATCATAGATTAAGATGCAGCAATTCGTCAGTGAACTGCCTGATTTGAAAAGTGATTAAAAGGCTTTACGGACAAGATTTTCAGTCACGAAGACGATACATTGATAAATATTGGTCCCTCGCCCTCTCTGTCATCTCCCCGAACTGAAATCACATGCCTTACGACTCAGAATTCCGCTGCGATAAGCACGCCACACACTCTCATCAGGCATGCCACGCGTATCAATGCAAGCATGTATCTAGAACCAAGTTATTCATAGAGGCTTTGAAATTTGAAAGGGTCTGAAAGCTCAAGCCATCATTTCCCGTCCCGACTGTCGGGTATGCACTACGCATATACCATGGACCCTTCGTATATTCAGCGACATAGCGCATATACCCGAACCGCCTGGCCGGTGCGCAGTTTGATGCTCGGGTATTTTGCTGCTGTTGCTAGTACCAGCCGATTTTGACAACGACGTCGGAGACTGACATTTTCATGACCTATGATGTGTCCATCTAGCAGGCAATCTCAAACGTGGAAAGGCAAGGCGAAAATTGAAAGGCGCCTATTCTTTGTCTTGCCAAGGTAATATTTCCCTTCAGCTTTGTGTGTCCTCACTTGAGAGTACCGGCAACATCGAAAGTTATATCACGAGAGCGAATTATGATAAAGTCCTCATGATTTGGGAGTTTCAAATATTTCCATATCATTTCATACCTTCTTAGACTGCTTGAAACCAGCTGCTTCATCGTAGCCAAGGTCCTTTGTGATCGCAATCATGGGTTCTATACTGCCAGAAACAATGAGGGCAGTCGTCTTCAATGGCCCTTTCGAAGTCGAAGTTGTGGACAAGCCAGTCCCCAAAATTCTCGAGACGACAGACGCAATTCTCAAGGTCTCTGCTACCGCTCTGTGCGGCAGTGACTTGGTACGTGATACTCAATCGAACCCCATTTTTACATCTCAGAAATCAGCTCTACAACTTCCCTAAACCTCGCCTTCGTACTGACTCCCATACAGCACTACTACCGCGGTCACCAGAAATCCACCCCTGGATTCATCTGCGGTCACGAGACAGTCGGGCACATCACTGCCCTTGGCTCCTCCGTCACAAACTTCTGTATCGGCGATCACGTCGTCATTCCCTTCTCAACCGCTTGTGGCTCCTGCTTCTTTTGCTCTCGTGGACAATCTAGCCGGTGTTCCAACGGTGTGCTCTTCGGGTGCATCACGCCCTCCGCGACCATCGACGGCGGCCAAGCAGAATACATCCGCGTCCCTCACGCTGCGTCGTCACTCGTGAAGGCACCGTCTTCGATTCCAGAAGACATGCTCGTCCTCATGGCGGACGTGTTTCCCACGGGGTACTTCGCAGCAAGCCGCTTCCTGAAAGACGTCCCCGAAGCACAAAAAGAGGACATCACGGCCGTGGTTCTAGGCTGCGGGCCTGTAGGCATTTGTGCTATCGCATCCGCTATCCATCTCACGGGCGGAAAAGCCCAGATTTTCGCCGTCGACTCGATCCCCGAGCGTCTTAATGCCGCCGAGAAGCTGGGCACCATACCAATAGCCCTCTCCGATGACCCAATCGCGAAGATCAAAGCCACCTCATCTGGCCGCGGCGCAGACGTGGTCATGGAGGTCGTTGGCCATGCCGACGCGCTTGAGCTAGCGTTCGAGCTGATTCGACCCTTTGGTAAGATCAGCAGTGTGGGCGTGCACAACGAGCAGATCAGCTTCTCGGGCTTTGCGCTGTATTCGAAGAATGTGACAATGGTGTTTGGGAGATGTCCTGTACGAAGTCTTTTTGATGAGGCCCTGGCGGTGTATGAGGTTTTGGAGGAGAAGTTGAGGTTCTTGTGTGAGTTGAAGATGCCACTGGAGCAGGCGCCGGAGGCATATAGGTTGTTTGAAAAGCAGAAGTTACATAAAATATTGTTCAGTGTATAGATAGTAAGGAAGGTCTTAGTATACGGATAAAATCCATACCACTAAAACAGACTTGTTTCTTTGCAGGCAGAGTGTTCTGTTGTGATTTCAATGTGAATGTCGATCGTGGGGTGGGAGAGTCCCATGGATGCCTGCGATTGAGCTCGCCACACCAAATGAACCATGAACTGCCTCACGAAAAGATAGATGTTGTGTAACTGCGTTGTGCATCATTATTCTTGATTGCTACCGAATTTGTCAAAGTCACCGGGACATCACGAAGCAACAGGTGCCGCATAACCTTGATATTCACCCTTCTCAGCCAGTAGAACAGGCAACTCATCCTCCACAAACGAGTCAAATGTCGACTTCCCTTGAGGTTTCCAGCCCAGAGCACGTAACCTATTGACGCGGTTCCTCGCATTCTCCCCAATGACCGCGACAGACCACTCCTGGAAAAGATCGCCAAACATCCCACTGGGAATTTCCCTCGGCTTCGGATCCTGAAGCTTGCCAGCATTGTGCAGCGCCGTACCAATCTCCGCAGCCATCTTCTCCCAAGAGTGCTCATCGCCGTTCTCGATGAAGAAGTAGGGGTTCTTGAGCACTTCGTCGCCGGATGAAGATTCCATGTAGTGCAAGATCGTCATGTAGCCCTTTGCTAAATCGGAGACGTGAACCTGGCCCCAGACGGCTTTTCCTCCTCCGCAGAAGCCGGCGAAGCCTGCTTAAGCGCAAAACGCGCCATGGTCGGAATCTGGATGGAGAGGCGATTCTCTTTGCCCAGGCCATAGATGACGGGAGGAAGAACAATCGACACCTTCGCTTTGGCACCGAGTTGTTTGCGATGCCCCAATATAGCCAGGTCAATCTGGCGATGAGGAGCGTCATCGGCTATGCTATCGATCGTCTCGGGCTTGTCGTCCTCATATATCTTGTCACTAACATACTTCCCCTCTGATTTATCTGTTATGGCACTGCACCCGCTGGTGTGAATGTAGATTGAACTCTTCCCGCTCTTGGCGCGTTCTGCAATGCCATCAAGAATGGCAATAGCTGATGGCTTGTGATCAGCTGTTGCGGTGTGAATCGTGATGTCATTATTTGCAGCTGCATAGCGGATAACATCGTGGTCGTCGAGGGAACCTTTAACAGTCTTGGAACCCATCTGCTCGAGGCTTGTGCGCGCCTCATCTCGACGAACGAGTGTGGTGACAGAATAGCCCTGTTTAAGGAGCTCGCTCAGGATTTCGAGGCCAATGAAGCCAGGACCGAGCAGGAAGACCGAGCTTTTGGGGGCCATTGTGTTGGGAAAAGAGGTGAATGGCGAAGTGGAAACAACGCAGAATTCAAGTTTTGAAATGTGATTGTGATGGCAAACCACAATGGATGTCAAGGGTTGGAGATACTCTACAGAAAGCTCGATGGACCTGCGAAATACTCGTCATTGAAAAACCACTATGAAAATTGTCAAGTGACGTGGGGTAGTATTGGTAAGCTCTTGCCTTTGTGTCTTGCAACATTGTAGTCTTGTCTAGAAAGAAAAGTCAAAAGAAATGCGTTATGGTAAATGGCGTCATAAGGTGGATCATATAGCCGAGTGCCCCTCTATCCCCACATGGCCCAGCCCACATTTCTATCGCCTCTGCCCCCCTTTTAATCGTTCGGTGGTTCTCACCTCCAACTCGCTTAGTACGCCTTGTAGGTGAGGGATAGCGATACGCAACGAACAGCGATACGCAAATCTGAGATTTTGGTGGGAATCTCTCCTTTTCTCCCTTTGAATTCTCACAACGCAGCGTAATAAAATAGTGTCTAAGTATTGGGAATTGATCCCAAGGTGTAGGCCCTTTAGCTTAGTAAATTTTAAGTCTAAAAGATTAAGGCGTTATTGTGATGCAAATCTGCCCCATTTGCCCATACAAATTTTGGAGCGATTTGCGTATCGCTGTTCGTTGCGTATCGCTATCCCTCACCTACAAGGCGTGCTAGGCGAATTGTAGGTGGGAAACGCCGAACGATTACTCTTATCCGATCCTCCCGGTCCGAAGAAAAGGCCAACCGCCGAGAATTTTGCCGAAATACCAAATCAAGCCAAACAATGTTACCTACAACTAGGGGTGGTACTTTACATTACAGCCCGAGCACGTTACGTAAAGTATGTAATTACAGCCCCTAAGTACTTTACACGTTACTTTACATTCATGTGATGTACTAGCCCGATACGGAATATACTATACCTAATTTGGAGGCGGTGTGCTTCGGCAGTAAGTTTGAATCTTCGCAGCTGAGAAACTCTCTATTATCAACACTCTCACCACCAGGGGATCAATCGCCATTCAACAAGCTAATATGCTAGCCAATAATTAGCAGAGCGCTCGAGAGAAGGTAGAGATCCATGGAGCCTTCGATAAAAATTTTAGTATGCGAATACGGGTCGATATTTAAGGCTATTTCAGAGGTTCAGGGCACAATTCGGGGCACACTTTAGGGCTTGCAAGAGATTCAGTGGGGGATTAGTAGCGATTTTCAGGGCCTCCCAAATTAATACGATGACCTGGAGTTTCAGGCCTTTGGGGATAACTATTGGGACCACGTGTCCTGAATTATACTCTCCTTTATGCATGAATTATACCCTATTTATGCCTACTTTACACGAGATTTACTATGTTTTGTAATGTAAAGTACGACTACTTTACGTAAAGTTTGTAAAGTGTAAAGTTTACCATCCCAGGCTACAACGGCCACCAAGCATGAATATTCCGATTTTTAATCTCCTTCCTCACATCCACCAAAAACATGCTTGTCTCCTCCGTACTCCACCCCAGTGCCTTCGAAAATAGCCTTGTGACCATGCTCTCCAAGCTACTTAGAAGATTCTCCAAACTGCTCAGTAAGGAGTAGATTCAAACCCTTGAGGCGCATTTTGATGTTTGACAGTAACTTGAAACCCGCGTGTGTTCCATTCTATTCATAAATTCGGGGTATTCATAAATAAGATAGCTAGGGAATAAAGGAAAAGTACTCTGATTTCAAATACCTTAAAGAAGTCATATATATATTACTAATTTGAGTATTTCTAATATATCAAGTTATAGAAAAGTGAAATTAGGTAAATAAACTATATAGTACTATAATAGTAAATCTAATAAATATAAGAAATACTAGCTTATTATAGCTATTGTAGTAGGGAATCAGGTGACGAGTCACGTGGCTGGTCAGGTGCTCTCGGCTATCCACTACCCCTATATATATAGCTCTCTCCTTCTCTCCTTCCCTCCTTCTTACCAAGATAGTATCCCGAGTACTCAAGTTCTTAGTATATATATTTAGTATCCCTATATATCCCTCTTTACTATTATAATAGAAAAGTTCTTTATTAATTACTTGAAAGAAATATTTTAGAAATTTGAAATTATTAATAAAATTCATATAGTTTATATTAGTTTATTATTTATATTAAGAAAAATCTTATATAAATAAGTAAAAAGAAAGAACTATAGCTTTATAAAATAATAAAATAATAGTATTTATATAAAATTATAATAGAAAAGCTATATAAAACTATAAAAAGTAATAAATAACTTATATTTATAAATTATAAACTTCTTTAATATTAGTATAGCTATTACTTTAAGAGTTATATATATATTAGAGAACTTAAAGGCAAGAGGATATAAGTAATAAAATATAAATAACGGGATATAGAATAGGAAATATAGTTATATAATCTTATATTCTATAATTAATTTAATTAGTAAACTAGATCCTATTAGGCTTAGTAAATTTAGGAATTATATATTATTAATAAACCAATATTTAATTACTTATTATAAATCTTATATAACTAAATAATTTAATTATAACTTTAACTTTTATATTTAGTTTTTAATTAATTTTTAAAGAATTTAAAATTAAAATAATTAATATTAAAATATAGCTTATAATAATAATAATAATAATAATAATAATAATAATAATAATAATAATAATAATAATAATAATAATAATAATAATAATAATAATAATAATAATAATAAATAATAATATAATAATAATAAAATAATAATAATAAATAATAATAATTAATAATAATAATAATAAAATAATAATAATAATAATAATAATAATAATAATAATAATAATAATAATAATAATAATAATAATAATAATAATAATAATAATAATAATAATAATAATAATAATAATAATAATAATAATACTAGTAAAAAACTTTTCTAAATAAATAAAGAACTTAATTTAAGTAAATATTAATATATAATCTAGTATATTAAATAATTAGCTTATAAATCAGCTTTAATTATAATATAAAAACCTAATTTATAATTTTTTGTTTTATTTAATTTAATAATTATTAATATATATAAAAATATAAATAATAAAATATATTTGGCTTATAATCTTTTTATTATTATTTGAAATTTAAAAGTAATTACTTTATATAATTATATTTATAAAACCTTTAATATTAGCTTATATTTTCTTTTAAATAAATATATTATTTAATTTAAGTAATTTACTTTATAATAAAATTAAATAAAAGTTTTAATATAAGATTATATTATTTAATAAATTACTTAATTTTAAATAGAAATATAATTTTATTAGAATTAATATAAAATATTAGTTTATTAAAGCTAATAAATAAATATAAAAGATTATTATAATTAAAATTAACTATTATATAAGCTTTATTATATATTATAAAAAATAAGAAATAATAATTTAAATAAATAATTATCTAATTAAAAGAAGCTCTAAAAAGGCCTCTAAATCTAGCTAAATAAAAGAAAGCTATTAAATAAACTAAATTAAGCTTTCTAGTACTTATATTTATATAATATATTTTCTAGAGGCTTTTAATACTTTTAATAAAAGAAATAGCTAGTAAAAAGAAATATATATATAGTTTATTTAATTTTAATTAAAGGCTCTAAAATTATTATTTTCTAGTATTTTATATTAAGCTAATAAAACTATTAAAAAAAATTAAAAAAAGCGGGTTTAAATATTTCTAGTAATATATTTGGTTTTAAAAAAGCCTAGCTTTAGCCTTAAATAGTTTTATAAGCCTAAAGCCAGAAAATTATATTATATATATTATTAATATTTAAAATTCTCTAATTATTACGAGTCGCTTAGACTAATGGATGCACATGCAGGGAAATAGCTTTACTGCATGGGTAATTAGACCAAAAGGTATATTAATAAGATTGGAAGCCTTATTAGCTATTTTACTATATGAGAGCACAGTACGCATCACGTGACTAACCGCATACGTGATACACACTGTGACACTAATAGTATAATTTCTTTAGTTTAATTCTTTTTTTAAGCTACTTATATAGCTTTTTATATTTTTTCATTAAATATTATTATATAATATTTAATTACTTATTTATAAGATATAAATCGAGCTTTCTAATATAGGAATTAGTAATTATAGGTTTTAAAATAAAGTAATTAATAAATTACTATAAGTATTTTTCTGTTTTTATTTTTTATAAGGGCTTAAATAGCCTTTAAATCTTTTAATAAAAGAAGTAAAGATCTCAAATAAAAAGTATTATTTATTTTATTAAATTAAAGCCTTAAAAATTCTTTTATATTATTCGAATATATAAATAGGCTTTTTAAATATATTAGATTTAATTACTAGAATAAGTTATTATATTTTTTAAATAAATAAAAACTTAATAGCTATTATTTAAAAGAAGTTTTTAATTACTAGATGTCACGATTCCCAGATGCCTCCTAGACGCACGTGACGCGGCCGCCTCGCTAGGGAAGTATGCTTGGAATGTACTAGAGATATTTAGAAGGCTAAGCCCCTTCGGGACTAGCGTACTATAGGGTGCATATACTCCCTCGCAGCCTCCTATATTCTAGTTTTCCTTTCCTTAGCTTTGAATCGTCTTCGTAAGGGACCTTCTACCTTGCTTTCCAAGCCCTGAATACCGTACTTATAATATAAATTCTTCGAGATATTAATAGTTAATAATAAGAATCGAATTAATATCTTTAAATATATTATATATAACTTATAATTCTTTAAATAAAAGAAGAAAAATTCTAGTATTTACTAGCTTTTAATTATTAGTTATATTATTAAAGTACTTCTAGCCTAAATTGATTTCTTGAAATTATATATAGCATATTAATATGCCTTTATTAATTCCTACAAAATTCCTTATTTTACTTATATAATATTTTCAACCCAGAATTATTTGCCTAAAGAAATAAAATAAGAGGCTAATCAAATTAGATAATAAAGCATCTATATAAGTATACTAGTTAATAAATAGTAGAACTAGATATTCCCATTAATTATATAACTTTTCTTCCTAATTGGAGTTATGGTTATTAAGTAATTTGCGGAATTGTAATTAAAGGTAGTGCTTTGAATGTTTCTATTGCGAGGGTTTTCGCAACTTGCTTAAAATGCGATTTAGACGATTGTTACGAGCCTGCGGACACAAATCTGTGTTTTTAGCGATGTTTTCAGGTATCACAAAACCAAAGTCGCCCACTTCATTTCACAGTTTCTTCACAACTACAGATTAAAACCTCGTATAATTCAAGCGTATATAATAAAAAAGGATAGATCGAGTTTAGAATGCCTTTAAACCTAATGATAAAGATAAAATAGAAGCGCCCAGAATAGTTATGGGGTTCATTTCTTACAGAAGTGCCCTAAAAACACAGACTTGTGTCCACAGGCTCGTTACGGAGGATGCGGCCAAAGGTCTTGCAACTGTCAGGGTTTGACGCCACACTCGCTTAAATTACAAGGGCGTTGCATGGCAACCAGAGGCCGCCATAATTACAGGGCCTTACAGGCTTGTCATGCTTAAATAACAGCACTCAAGCCCTGTAAACATTACTAATAGCAATGTTCCTTCAGGCAACTGAGGCCCTAAGCACCGTTGCTATGCCAGAGCTATGTGGCGTTCTTAGGCTTGGCGCCCACCCCTGCCAGTTGCAAGACTTAGAAGGGATCACCAGTCAACCGCCCAAATCACTCAACCGCCCAAGCAAGATTTTGGAAAATTTTGAAAGGGCTCAGAAGATTCTGAAACTCTGTGGAATGACTAAAGTGAGGTCGTAGATCGCGAATATTAACTTATTTTCTTCATTTTGGAATGTGGTTATCCCTTCGTCCGGTGAGACATTACTAGCGTGGGCAGGGGGGGGGTCCCGCACTAAACAGGGGAGGCTCGCCTGGCTGGCGGGGCATAATTTTATATACCTTTGCATACAAATTTATTAGTAAGCTACCTCATTTGAATGATATTATACCCAGTAGTCCCCCTCTTTATATATTGGTATATTACAAAATTTATATCCCCTACTTGATCTCTTTACTATACCCTTTATCCCTTTCTTTAGGATCTTTTCGTACTTTAATTAGTATGAATATCATGTGTAAGTACCTTGTTTGGGACGCTTTTCCCAGTAGTATAAGTGACGAAGATCTGAATTAAATACCCTCTTGCCCCCTAGCCCTACTTATAAGCTCCTTAGCTTTGCCTTCTCAGAATACCTTAAAAGCTTATAATAAAGCTCGGTTCGAAATTGCAAGTACGTAAGAGGGCGTTTCTCTATTATACTTAATTAATAAAGCCTATAGCTATTTATATAAGCTATTTCGATTAGCCAGTAAAACAAGGGCTACTAATTCCTAAGGGTAGGCTTGTGACTCTCGTATACTTCCCTGAATTAGTTTGCAAGGTCTACCCCTCCCATATATTAATTATAATTATTAATAAAGCTAGGAATCTGAAGCTCCTTTATTAGCATTTCGCCAAAAACCTCCCGTATAATTTGCTCATTTATAGACGTCTTTGCAGGATGTCTTCTCTTCTTTACTCGCTAGTTCTCTGCTTTATTTATGGTATGGATATTGCTTAAAGCTAAGACAATACTATTATCTTGCCAAGCTAAGCAAAGGATATCCTGAACTACTACTATAAGCAAGGTATTCTATTCTAGCTTTGTGGCAAACCGATTTTTAATTACTAATAATTCCGGTGGAAATAGCTTATATAAGCGAGTGGTACCCACTATACCAAATTTACAGGCTCGTAGCTCTGAAAATAAGGGTATAGAAGTAAATTAATTATTAAGGTATATTATAAGGTAGTAGCATGGGAGGGAAAGTGCCAGATTTCATACGAGAGAACCGGTATTTATAAGGGTTAGATAGAGAGTCATTTTTTGGAGCCCCTTCTCTCGCAAGCTCTAAGTCTAATTATATATATATCCGTAATTCGCAAGTCTATAGATCTTATATCCTTGTTTAATTAGCTTTTTGGGTATCTTATATATATATGAGGATCTAAAATAATTAGCGGGGTAGCGGGGTAAAAATGGGGGAAATATATCTGCTAAAGTACTATACTATAAGTTCGTTAATACTAATATTAGAAGAAGGAGAGTATAAAAGCTAACTGGAAGCTTATATAGAGGAAGCAAGAGGTTTAAGCTTATACTACTAAAACTTATTATTTGGTAAGTAATACCTATTTTGTATATTATTTTCAGGGTATGAGATATGGTAATACCGCTTGATTTGCTCAAAGTAGCAGAGTAATATATGGTTTGTAATTAAGTATAGAGGACCTTTATTAAAGTCTGAATTCTAGTATATCTTAACTTGAGGCTTATTATATACTCCTATATATATAATTGCACCGAGAAATATATATAATTCCTCTAGTAACAAATCTGTCTATTCTCGTACCCTTTCCTCCTTTATATATAGCCTTTATATATTCGCATATTAATTGGTATTCGTAGTAATGATCTGGAAAAGCTTGCGGGTAAAGAATAGGCTAAAGTAATCGAATAGGTATGCTTTTGGAGGGAAGGTAGGAGGTAAAATCGCTCGTACGGACTATTCAGGTTCGGGTTAAAAGGGCTCAAAAGCGACGTTCGTGATTGGTCCAAGTTTAGAAAGTATATTCGCAAGGGATTAGGTGTTTTTTGGCCCTTTGGGCTGTGGAGATGGGCTAGAAGAAGGGTCCATTGCATGTATAAGCGCGTACTAAAAGGGCATTCTTGGATGCGATTTCATCCACGCGATGTAGCTTACTAATAAATTTGTATGCAAAGGACATTAAATTATGCCCCGCCAGCCAGGCGAGCCTCCCCTGTTTAGTGCGGGACCCCCCCCCCCTGCCCACGCTAGTAATGTCTCACCGGACGAAGGGATAGTGTGGTTATAGTAAAACTAGTTTTTGGGCGGTTGAGTGATTTGGGCGGTTGGCTGGTGAACCCTTCTATGGCCGCGTCCTCCGTCCTAATATCGCTGTAGCGCAAGCCACAGGTCCAAGCTGATCGCTTCATCTTCGGTTGGTGCATTTGTAGTTGATGGTGTGGTCCATACACCATTAGAAAACAAAATGCAGGGATAATGAATCAATTGACATAGAGGCCTGGCTACTGCCACTTTGTTATGTACTCCTAGGTTCTCTACTGTATAGGGCAATTGAACCCTTTCCGAGAGAACCCAAGAGTACATCACAGTACGGGGGTCTTTAGGTCCCTGGCCCTACGGATGTGGTGCTGACACCCACAGTGCGACATCCTACGCCAGGCGCTTGCAATTTGCGGTGACAAGGGCAAGGATTGGGAGGTCACAGGGGTGGGCAGCGGGCCCAAGCTCCTTACCTAAGCAAGGGGATAGAATTTTCGGTGGCATGTTGGTGCAACCAAAAACACGAGCACACAAAACCGCAGTGAAAATAGCAAAATATCTATCGACTTGTCTAAGGCCGTTGAAATGTCGACGACAGTCTCCCACGAATCGCAAAGAGAACAACAAGACGGAGCCCTAGGCTACCCTGAAGGAGGCCCAAGGGCATGGGGCGTTGTTTTTGGATCCTGCTGTGTTAGTTTTTCTGTCTTTGGAATTATCAACACATCCGCTGTCTTCGAGTCATACTTCACAGAACATCAACTCAAAGGAGAGAGCCCATCTCGTCTGGCTTGGATATTCTCCGTTTACTTGTTCTTAATCTACTTCATTGGCCTCTTAGTGGGCCCCGTCTTTGACCACCATGGACACCGAATTTTGATTCTTACAGCTAGCATTTTAGCAGTTGTGAGCCCGTTTATATTAAGCTTTTGCTCCGGTAATGAACATGTACACTCCATAAAGAGACTGATAAAAACTGATTTGGCAGAAAGAGTATTACCAGATATTCCTCACCTTTGCAGTCCTTAGTGGCATGGGGGGTTCTCTCATGAGTACGCCATCGATTGCTGCTGTTGGTCATTGGTTTTGCAAGCGTCGTGGCCTTGCGGTCGGTATTGCAACCTCTGCTGGAGGCATTGGAGGCATCATCTTCCCATTGATGCTGAGAGTTACGCTGGACAGATACGGCTTTGCTTGGAGTATGCGGATCCTAGGGTTCATTCTGCTTCTACTTGGGTTGCCTCCTAACTTACTGATCCGCACCCGCCTACCAAGGAGTGAAAAGTTTACGTCTGTATGGCCAGACATAAGTGTTTTCCTGGACTCAAAGTTCGCGCTGTGTTGCTGTGGCATCTTTTTCATGGAGTATGGGGTATTAATCCCACTTACGTATATAGTCTCATACGCGTCGACGCGCGGGCACAACGCCACGCAGGCCTATGTGCTTCCTGCTCTACTCAACGCAGGCAGTGTAGTGGGTAGAGTTATTCCCGGTCTTGTATCAGATCGCCTGGGTCGCTTCAACACGATGATCATAACCGTCGGAGGCTGTGCCGTCGCTGTATTAGCATTGTGGCTACCAAACGGAAACTCAGAACCAATGCTGATCTCCTTCGCTATTATACTTGGCTTCGTGAGCGGAGGTAACGTCAGCCTGACGCCAGTATGCATTGGTCAGCTTTGCGACTCTCGGGATTATGGCCGTTATTTATCTGGAGCTATGTTAGTGGCGGGATTTGGGACTCTAACCGGCATACCCATTGGCGGAGCAATCCTAGGGAACCAAAGTTCCAAGGAATGGTTGGGTTTGATCCTTTTCTCAAGCCTTTCCTATGTAGTTTCCGTTTGCTGCTTTATCGCAGCTCGGGTGCTAGCTGTGGGATGGAGCCTAAGAGTAGTCTACTAGACACTGTTGCAATGGTTCATGTGTGGTAGCTATGACAATCGAATTTACCCGAAGTGGTTCTTCTTCGTGTTCTACCTTTCCTCCCCTGATTTACTCTCCTTAGGTAGCACACTTCCCCTGTGGCCAGAGGGAGCCTAGGGTGGCGAGGGTGCTGGGTCAGCAGTCCCAAACTTGGACCTGTCCTAGCCCATTTGTCCTAGGACAGGTAGGCGTCTAGGATGGACAATCCAGGTTGATTGATTGATTGATTGATTGATTCGTAGGCTGTCCCAGCCGCCCTAGTGGCAGCTATGCAGCGTACATCTATAAGTACAGGTGCCCCCACTTCTCGCTCTCAGCAAGCTGTCCCGCCAGACTGCTTCCCCTTCTGCTTCGACGCAGTTGCACCTCTACTAATAGCTCTAATGACTGTCCTGTATCTGTGACTTGTCAGACCTTTCCTGGCCCTCCTCGACTTCTGTGTGCTTGAAATGCATCCTCAAATGATTGAAAGAGCTGTTCTGCCCATGCGAATACTTGTCAGGCCATGCCTAGCCCTTCTCTGGTTCTGTATGTCTGTGTGTATTCGAAGTGCCGATGGGACCGTAATTAACGCGACAGAAGTATAGCCGTAAACTTCCTAAACATGTGTACTATGCTTGTTGATTTGTTTTGGATCGTTGCCTACTTGAGTATTGCTAGCCTGCAAGCTGACTGTACCGTTCAATGTGGTATGTCCTTGAAGATATGCTCTAAGCGAAAAAAGCCTCGGATATAGCGAGTGCTGCCGACGTTATTAAGGAAGACTAGAATATAAGAGGCTGGTCGACTGCTACTCGCCGGTAGCTTCATTTCACACCCTGTTTCACCGTCTCGTCTTGTCATATCACAATTTATCATGAGTTGGCTATTATCCCACATAGTGATTTATAATTATCTACTTGTCTTAAGAATCCACCCTCTGCTCAAGTGAATAATAGTCTCATTTCGAACTCAAATAATAACAAACTCCTTGGTTATAAAATCGCCCCTTTCGAAAACCTCACCATCCATATAACCCTTCAGAAAATACGGTCCAATCAACTCGCTTTGCCCATCCTGAACCGACTTTAAAAGATATGGTACTATAGCTTTACGGAAGATGCAAAACAAGTCGCCAGTCTTTGCTCTTCTTGGCATCCAAGCGAACTTCCTGGCATTATTATAGCAGAAATACTTGTATGCCGAGAATAGTACTAGATAGCTATCTATAAATAAGATTATATTCTATATATTGCTCTTATCCTTATTAACTATATTTTTCCTTTACTTTATAGCTTGAGACGGCTATTAAGTAATAGATAAAGTTTAATAAAACCATTTATCTTTTTTTATAGAACTTGGCTCGTTTCGAAAACTTTACTAAATAATATTCTATACTAGTTTTATAGCTAGTTTTTACTTTATTCTATTTAATTTCAATTCTGCTTTATTAAATACTATAAATATCAAGCTTTTATACCAAGTAATAACTATAATTAGCTTGCTATATATTATTATTCTAATATGGCTCATTCGAGAAATTTGTATTTTTTTAATAATAAGATAATTATTAGTAAGAGAGAAGCTTAATAATAGAGAATTTAAGCCTCCTGCTCTAATTATAATCTCAAATGCTTTTATTAGAATATAATTTATAGCGCGGAACTAATTCGGGACCCAAGTTAGTAATTCATTTAATTATTATTATTTATAGAGTAAGTTACTAAAAGATAAATAAGGGATTTAAAGAAGAGCTCTTATTTTATAAATTATAAAAATAAATCTGAGGCCGGAATTATATAGTTTATTAATTTGCAGGGTATATTATTAGAATTAAAGATTTCTATTAAAGCATAGATTTTATTTCTTTAATCTATATTACTAAAATCTCTTATTATAGAAAGAAGCTTAAAGAATAATCTATATATATTACTATTCTTATATTATATAAGCAAGATATTTTTGAATACTACTAATACATATTTAAAGCCGGCTATAATAGATTATAAATCATATAATACAATTCTGTCTAGTACTAATAAGAAAGTAGTTTATAGAAAGGTTTTGGTACTATTAAAAAGTTATACTAAATGAGCCACAACGACTTCCTGTTATAATAAAACGTTGTTGTTGTATTGTAATAATAATATATAGATAGATAAAGAGAAAAGAGAGGTGTGGCACGAGTGGCCAAAGCTTAAATACAGGAGTGTAGTCACGTGAGCCTGCACGTGACCACTAGCACGCAGTTGCCATGCAACACTTCCTGTATGACCCATACTCTCCAAAACCATGGCCTGGAGAGCAGATATCCAATTTGCAGCCAAGAACTCCGAGGTATACTTTGGACTGCGCGGAAAAAGAACTGTCCAAGTCACATGTCATTCTCAGATGCACTCTCTGCCCATCGGCACCTGCACTAATAGGGCGGATACTTGTGAGTAGAGGGATATATCCGTAACCATATACCCGTGTACCGGCGAATCTTCGGAGAAGTACGTTGTTTTAAGACCTTATCATCAGGTAGGTTCAGCTCGTCTCCCTTCACCAAGCTACTCTCCTACTAATTAAGTGTAGTTACATTCCACAGTCGCCGAAATGGGAGAAGTTATCCATGTCGTCCAACTCAAGTTTAAGCCGGAAGTTGACACTGGCAAAATTGAGGAAGTGCGGCCCCCTCCTCGCACTCCCGTCATCTACCCAGTCATTAATGTCAGCAGATCCTAGCTTCTTTAAAAGCATTGAAGACCAAATGCGTCCACCCAGACACCAAGAAAAATTACATCAGGTCCATCCGACTTGGGCGGGATAACTCCCCAGAAGGACTGCAGGTATGTGTCCTCACGTTATCAACCAGATGGCCACTTGCAGTGGTACACAGCGCATCGAGCTGACAGAATGGTGTCCCACAGAATGGCTACACCCATATGGTTGTCTCCGAATTCGACAGTGTCGCTGATAGAGACTACTACTCGTTGAAAGATCCCGTCCATAAGGCTCTGGCTGGTGGACTGCCTCCTTTCATTGCTGCTTTGCAGGTGCTTGACATTGAAGTATGATTGTGTCCAAAAAGCCAGAACCAATAAATACAGCATTACCTCGATGCGTCTCAAGTTGTGTCTTATATGCTGCATCTGTGATTGCTTCAAATTTTTTTCATTTTTTCCCCCAGAGATCTGTTGAAATACTTCTCATTGATATATACTGTGAAATAGCTACAGAGTATCCTCCTTTGAGACACGAAATGAACATTTGCAAACAAAAACCAGTCTTATTTTATCAATCAAACCACTGTTACCTCAGAATCGCCTAAAACCTCTCAAATCATCATCCAAAATCTCCTTCGCAATCCTCCTGTACGGGCCCAGCCCTGCAAAGAAAAACATCGTAGTCCCCTTCTTCCCCGGCACATTCTTTCCAAAGATCCAAGAGTCAATACGCCGGAAGAGACTCTTCGAGCTCAGTTCGTCGCATCGCGTCGTCCATTCTTGCTCGGCCTCGGAGAGGGCCTCGACAATGCCATGGGTGTGGCTTTTTGCGTGGCCGTTCATGTAGCCATTTGTGTAGCCATTGGTGCCAATGGCGGCCTTTGGAAGCTCATTTTTCTCGGCTCGTGCGATCAGGTCAGTGATGATCTCGACGTGACACTCAATCGCAGGAGGGAGGTTAGAGAACGGGCCGTTAGGACCAGTTATCAAAAAGAGGTTGGGAAAATTAGGCACTGAGAGACCAAGGTACGATGTCGGGCCCATCTTAGACCAATGGTCTTTCAGCGTCCCGCCGTTTCGTCCTTGTATGGCAATGCGTGTGTAATTCCCGTCAACAGCGTCAAAACCAGTTGCGCAGATAATGACGTCGAGCTCGTAGAGCTTGCCGTCTGCAGTCTTGATGCCAGTCGCAGTAAGCTCAGTAATGGGATTGGTCTTAATATCCACGATATCAACGTTCTCGCGGTTGAACTGCTCATAGTATCCACTATCGCAAAGCGGCCGTCGAGCGTACCATTCCGTCGGACAGAGCTTTCTCGCCTTCTCTGGGTCCTTGACCGTCTGGCGGATTTTGTTCCTGATGAAGTCAGAAGCCGCGATATTTGCTTCTTCATTGACAGTTATATCACTAAATGTCCAAAACATGAAGCGAAAACCATTGCCTTGCTGCCACGCCTCCTCGAAGATACGCTCCCGCTCCTCAGGACTGACACTAGTGGCGGGTCGATTGAGCTCCTCATCAAAGCCATAGGCAAACAGGCTATTTTTAGCTTGGTCCCAGACTTGATCGTATGTCTCGTTCAAGTGTTTGCGGTGCTGGGTTGAGACGGGACCATTGCCGGCTGGGACGCTATATTGTGGGTTGCGCTGAAAGGAGAGTAATTGCTTGACCTCTTCAGCTTTTGCAAGTGCCGTGATAAGCTGCACGCCTGTCGAGCCGTTCCCGATAACGCCTACACGCTTGCCTTTGAGGTCCGCATTTTGAGGCCATCGGGCGGTGTGGTAGAGCTCGCCTGCGAACTTGTCGAGGCCTGGAAAAGCTGGGAAATTGGTTTTGGAGAGCAAGCCGAGTGCTGTGACGAGATACTTGACTTTGAGGACCTCCTTTGTCGATAGCGTGACGACCCATCGGAGTTCTTCTTCGTTCCATTGCGCAGCGAGAAGTTCCGTTTCGAACTGGAAATGCTTTCGCAGATCGTACTTCTTAACAACGTGCTTTAGATATGCTAGAATCTCTGGGCCTTGGAGATAGTGGTGGCTCCATGGGTATGATACGAGATCTTCATGGTCCCAGGAATACCTGTACAGGAAGGACATGGTGCTATTTAAATTAGCTGAAATGTTTATTGTGGAGATAGGAAGCCGCCCAGCTAAAAGATTGACTTACTCAGACATGGCGCCTGGATAGCGATTCCAGTGCCAAGTGCCTCCGACATCGTCTGCCATATCAATGCCTTTGACATTGAGGCCTTGATCAAGCAGCTTCTTAAGCTGATAAATACCCCCAAAGCCAGCACCGACGACCAAGGCGTCAAGATATTGGGGCTCCATCGCGATTGTCATGATGTGGATGCTCAATTCGAAAATTGGTGATTGAGGATTAAGTTGCCAGGACTGAAACGGGCAGCTGAGGGAGAAGAGAGAAGGAGGGAGAAGAGAGAAGGAGGGAGAAGAGAGAAGGAGGGAGAAGAGAGAAGGAGGGAGAAGAGAGAAGGAGGAGACGAGGTTTGCGGAAGACTCTGGGGCGGAAAGGGTATGAGCTTTCACATCCTCACATACTCTAAATAGCTCGAGCCCACGTCGTCGCGAACCCGGGCTACAAGCCGGGGACGCCCGTTCGTTGCGGGGTAGAATGTACTAATCACTTTTCCCACCCATTTCCTTCTGGGGCCAGTTTTGAACCCCGGGCCCATGCGGCAATGTCTGCAAGGCTCCCCACGTTGGCCGAAGCCCGGAAGCGGGGTTAGATCAAAGCTGGGTTTACGGAAAGCCGTAAGGATCACATGTGCCAGCTCGAAATGCAAAACCCGCTTGCATAACGGACCTGGCCAAAATCTGTGCCGCACCCTGCGAAAAGGTCAAGCGCTAATTTTTTAGTACCTAGAGCCCATAATTTAGCGACCACAGCCCTATAGAGGAGTAATAAAAGCCTATAATTATAGCGCTTCCTTTTCCTCACGGCTCTCGAATCTCAAAGTTCGTTTTCCACTTCTCAGTTTTCACTTTCACCCGCCTCCCCGCCCCCTCTCCTACCCCTATATTTATATATATAAGAATTAAAGAGAGAGGGTAAAGGTTTTAAGAAGTAGCAGAGGCTTAGAGAGATGGGGGCGTCGTAGTGGACGTGGGGGTGGGCGATTTTTGGTAGGGTGAGGCATGCAAGTGGGATGCGAGTTTTGCGTCTCGCGCTGGCACATGCGATCCTTGCGGCCTTCCATAGGTTGTGATGCTCGCTAAAATCGGTGGCATATCCGAGTCACATACCCGCTCGTGGCTCCCCCCTTTTACCAAAAGGGGGTTCCTGAAAGCGACTTGGCCACCCGAGCGATCTTGCCAAGTATTTTACATAGTAAATCTGTATGGAAGATACTTCAAGCTGGCTGCGCGAGCTGGTCCGTGCCATAGAGTTTAGCGAGGAACACCAATTTTGGTGGTGGCCAAATCTCTCGGGGTACGAACGGGTAAATGGCCCAGCGCTTTACTGCATTTAGGGGGCATATACCCGACACCCATTTTTGCGCGAGAGGCAAAGATCCTGAAAACACGACAGCCAACATGACTCTGAATCCATGAGAATGCTCTACCGCTGGAGCACCGAAGTCTCGCAACTAAAGAACAAGATTGCTGGTTGTTAAAAGTTCTGGGCGGGTCTCAAGAAAATCGTACGTACCCGGTGCATACCCGACTCGCCTCAATCTTGCCAAGGCGATATTGTATATGAGATGAAGCACTATGCGACAGGAGTGTGGCTGCAATCTTGGACCCCTCAAATCATCAGAAGAGATCCAGCACAACTCTCAGACATGCCTCAATCGTATTCGCCGTGCCCGCTACCGCAACCGCCACGTGCCAAAAACCAACGAATAACACACGTGACGGCAGTCTTCTCCGATGAATGGAACAGGCATTTCAGTCCCAGAAATGTGCGATCAAGGAGGCGGAGGTTTCTTAACAGTGGAGAGACAATATCAGGGTTCACTGCAATCTTCTGTGATGATTGGAAAGACGACATGGGCGAGGAGGAAGTTATCGACGACTATGTCTGGTCATCGAAGCGTGAGAGGGAAGAGGACGTGGAATTCTTTGCTCAACATTGGGACTCATCACAACCCAGCTATAAGAGACAGCGTCTGGAATCTCCGACCGAGTCTGTGTCATTTTTGGCCGAATCACCAGAGCCTCAACTGTCCCCATCGGCCAACTCTTCCCCTGAGTCTTTATCATTTACGGCCCTATCACCAGAATCTCAAATATCACTCTATGCCACATCCCCAAAACCTCAAATTTACCGTTTTGATGAATTTGAGCCAGAAAAGTGGCCATCACCACCCGGGGACTTGGAGTACAATGTCGATTCAAGATTGATGGACAGCAGTGAAGAAAAGCTCCTGACACCAGATATTATATTGCCAGAAGACTTGATTCGAGATGTAACAACTTTGGGGCAACCCCTGGACCTTGAAATCGCAGCTCTCGACCCAGATCTATATCTGGCTTTGATTTCAGACGAAGCAGAGAATTCTTCCACGGCGGTAACGAATCTGAATTTCAAGACCAGAACGCCAAACGCCATTTTGCACTCGTGTGAAGAGGTTTCTGGCGAGCAGTGGTCTCAGATTGATAGCTCCGAAGTGGAGCCTGAGGGATTTGAGTTCTGGGACGATTTTATGAAATGTTGTATGGGCGTCCTTGGAGACCATAAAGTCAAGGAGTGCCAGATAATGGAGGCACCACAGGAGCCGAGATTCGAGCTATGTTTTGAAGAGATGATAGATTGTTAGATAATCACTGTCATGGATCATATATTGTACATAATAGAACCTTTGCAACAAAGTGGACTTTCCACTTGTGACAGAAAAATACTCGCGTTATGGTCAAATAATAAGCTATAGCTCTTCGTGGCATTAAGCTGAGTCCAGCTCTCGCAGCAATATGTAAGATACATGTTAGGAGAATACGATCCCACCATCCACGACAATATTCTGCCCCGTCACGAATTCCGAGTCCGGTCCACAAAGGAAGCCAACAACTTTTGAAACATCTTCCGGCACGCTCACTCTCCCCATTGCTGTCAACTCATGGACGTATTTTCTGACCGTCTCCCCTTTGGGCCGTCCCTGCATCTTGCCCAACGTCTCATCCAGTTTCTCCCACATCGCCGTCCCCACGATCCCAGGGGCGTAGCAGTTAACATTGATACCATGCTGGGCCATCTCGACCGCAAAAACCTGCGTCATACCTTTCACAGCCCATTTCGACGCACAATACGGTGCTAGCAACGGAAACGGCTTGTAGGCGGCAATTGATGACGCACCCAAGATCTTATATCCAGTACTGCCTGTGGCAACCGGTCCCTGTGCAATCATCTGCCGGGCAGCGTGCGTATAGCAGTTCCAAACGCCGTTGAGATTGACGTTCATCGTTTGCGCGAATAACTCATCGGACGTGTCCAGCGCGGCCCCAACGCCGCAAATCCCGGCGTTCGCGATCATAACTGTCAGGGGGCCAAGGTGCTTGACTGATGCTTCGACCATCGCTTTCACCTCTGATGAAGAAGCAACGTCTGCAATGACTCCTACCGAGGTGCGGTCCCCATAGCTCTGGTTCAGCTCGCCAACCAAATTTTCAACGCCGGCCTTGTTGGCTGCGATGTCGTTGATAGTGACGGCATATCCATCGTGAGCAAGGCGGCGAGCGATGGCTTCACCACTGAGAAATGGCACATTTGGATCAGCATGAGGATATTTGAGACGTGATGTAGGAGAAAGGGCGTGCTGTCATACATGCCACGGCTGGAGCCTGTCACGATTGCTGTTCGCTTCTGGCTCTGACCCTCTTTCGCAGCTTTAAGGCCGAAGTAACGACAAGCCATAGGTTTTATGGTAGAACGACTCCCACGCGGCGCCCAGCTCTGTGTAAGTAAGCTTCGCGGTATCCGCATATGTCGACAGCAAAGCTCCATCTTAGAGCAAGAAGGTGAGAGAAGGCTCGCGAAAATAGTGCAAGAATATCGAAGAGATCGGTAATATACAGACGGGAGTAGATGGGGTTCACCTTTCTTAACATGGTGTACCGCGTTTTGAGAATATGAAGCTATATGTGAGGGACGAAAACAACAGGGCGACTTCGCCTGTCATCGAATCCCTAACCCGGGCCGACTGACTTCCAGGGCTTTGTCATACAGCCTTGAGTGTTGCTCATGCCCTGTGCCATGCTGGGAACGCTTCCGCTTCTCTGTCGGTACGAATAAGGTTGACACTATCCCCGATTCGTCCTGACAGCGGAAGCCGACCCCTGACAAAAAGGAAAGTTGCTAACACGAATGCAGCTAGAATAGCCAACCCCATATTGCCGAATCGGTAACCGCGTGGCTTCCTTCGCCAAGCATCCCTTGGCAGCTCCACAGCCATGCGGCATTCGAAGGCAATATGTGCCTTTTCTTGTACGTCCCGAAGCAGTGGAAACCCCATGCTCAACCTGTTCCCGGTTTACATCATGCCACTTCCGATGGGTCCAACTAATCGAGCAAAGAGCTCATTGCCCCGCCAAAAGCTCTTCTGACAATTGGATCAGCCTTGCCCACCCGCAGCGATACTCTTTTATCTTCCAACTAAAGGCTAGAAACCTCTCCATCGCATTTTCTACCCTCGGCTGTGGCCTTCTCAGAAGTTCCACCAAACGCAGAACGTGCCGATTACAATGGCAGTCATTCAAGCCCTCCGTTTCCACGCCCAGCACGATGTCAGAGTCGAGGATGTAGAAGTGCAGTAAGCATGCCACATGGCGAGCAGATTTATTCCTGGAGTACAACTAATATTCGAATAGGTCTTGCGGAACGGATGATGTACGAGTCAAAATCGCCTACTGTGGGATCTGCGGCTCAGATGTTCACGAATATCTCGGAGGACCAATATTCCCACCTCTTCCAGGCCAAAAAAACCCCCCACACTGGTGTTGAGCTGCCTGTGATCATGGGCCACGAGATGTCCGGCACCATTGTCCAGGTTGGCTCCAATATTACGGGGCTCAAGGTTGGCCAGAATGTCGCCATCAATCCATCGATGGACGACAGACATCATGGAAAGGAAGATTGTTCCATTTTACTGAGGCCCACAGCTAGCTAGCGGACAAATCCGAGAAGCGAAAAGTGATTTTCTGATTTTCTGATTTTCGCACTGGCGCCCCGCACACCCCCCCCCCTTCCCCAAGGCAGAATTCCTAATTAGGGGTATAGCACCCATACGTAACTTTCGGCTTGGATAACGCAATAATAGTAAGGCTGCTTGCTTGTCTAATTAACGAAGTAAGAGCCTATACTACCGCGTAAAATCGTACCAAAATTGGGCCGGATAGTATAATATAAAATTAAGTATTTATTACAAATTACTATAGTTAGGTAACTATAGGCTATAAGCCCTTTTAGGATAACGCTATTAACAGGGTCTAATAACTTTATTGAAAAGTAATCGATTTATTGATGGAAAATCGATTTATTGAAGGTTGACAGACTGCAGAAATGACTAGATACAGAAGTGTGAGTTCTAGAAACAGAGGAAAAATGTCCAAAGTAAGGGATTTATTCCCATTACCCTTCGGCGATACCGGTGATACCGAACCCGCTTTCTCCGATACATTATCAATCAGCTGATAAACCAAAGGTAATCAAAATGACGATATACTAGTAAGCTTGGTAAGCTCGGCGAGTGACGCATGACAAATGAGAGTGGAGAACCCTAAATTAGTGGTTGAACCTGGTGCTGGAAGGACTGGTAAGCTAGCTATGGTAGCGTACCAATTTCAACAAACTTCCTTAATATTCCCGAGATTAGAAATAAGAAAATTAAACTATTAAAATAACTAAGAAACTGGCTAATTACTTTTTTTTAGTAATTAATTAATAAAATCATATAGGGATAATATTACTCGAGTTTTTTAGTACTTATATTACTAAAAAGTATATTATAATAATAAAGCATACCCTGAACTTAATTCCTATTAAAATAACTTGGTGGATTTTATTAAAATAATACTATAACTTTTAATAAATCTATTACTAAATAGGCTTATATAAATATTAATTAAGAAGAAATTATAAATAGATTAAAAGATTTATATGAAATCTTAGTTAATCCGTATATAATCTAATAGTAACTATAAGAATAGAATATCTAAATATGTACTTAAATAGTAGATATGCCTTTTTTTTATATATAGATTATAATTCTATATTATCTAGGAGATATAAATAAGGAAATACTTGAGAATCTTAAGGATTACGGCTATATAGCTTTAATTACTAGAGTTATCGGTATATATATAAGAAGCTTAGTCTTATTTACTATATAACTATAATAGATAGGTAAGTAGCAAATAAGTAACTATTTATAATATTATAGAGTAAGCTAAATAATAAGCGGATTATAGGTTATAGATAATAGTATTTATATATATACTTCTATTAATAAGATTTACTAGTAACCTGATTAGTTTTTTTATACTTTATTATTTTGCCCTAGCTTAGAAAGTTAGGGCCTTATTTACTAATAAATTTTATTATTTATAGAAAGAGCTTATATATAATATTATAACTTCTAGATTCTAAGATAATTATACTATAAATATAACGGATATAGTCTAAGAAAAAAGAATATATTATATTTAGACCGGACTAGATTTAGTTAATTAATAAATATAATAAGCTATTACTATTTGGGATCGAGATATATACTTATATTAATACTTATTTATATAATATTATCTGGATATATATTAAAATCTCTAATTAGATTACTTATTTAGTTATATAGTAGTATTTTTAGATTTGTACTTAAATAAGCTATTGCTCTTACTTCTTTAGGGCTAATTAAGGCTCTAAACTTCCCTTTATTACTAAAGTATACTTTATATTCTTATAGATAGCCGATCTATTAGTTATATATATAAAGAACTATTTTATTTCTGGGAAAAGCACTGAGAATTAGTAGGTTAAATTCTAGTAATAGGAGCTTTAGAAGAGCTAGTTATACTAGTAATATATAAGTAATTCCGTTTTCCTATATTTATTTCTTATTCTTTCTATTATTAGGAAAGAGTATTAGGTACTAATAATTATACTATTTTTTATTAAGGCTATTAGGTCTAGTATTATAGTACTAGATTATATAACTAATTCCAATTAGTATATATAGAACTACTTTTAGGAACTGGCCTATATTAGAGATTATAATTACTAATACTTATAGAACCGGATTACTTTACTAGTACTTTATATATAGTAGATCTAAAACAAGATATATAGGTTTATAAACTTGTAAAATATTTATAGAATTAGAAAAAATAGATCTAGGCCTAATATAATAGCTAGTAAGCTATTTAGACTATATATAAGGCCTTTAGGCAAGATATAATACTAGGGTTACCTTATAGATATAAAGCTTTATAATATAATTCTTAATAATTATTTAGTTTAGGATAAGTAATATAACCTTATATAGCTTTATATAAATAGTTTATTTATATACTAATATAGATATTAATGAGTTTTTACTAAGAGAAATACTAGAATAGTATTATTAGAAGCTTATATCTTATAATATAAATATAGCTAATATTTATATAAGAGATATTAATAGAAATAGTAACTAACTATATATTTAAGCTTATTACTAGCTCTAATATATAGTTCGGGTATATATAGCCTTAGGGCAGCTACTAATATTAGGAGAATCCGAGAAGCTAACTAGTAAATATAATACTATTATTATATAAAATAGAATTCTTAAGTAAGTTATTCTAATAAATATAGAATATATAAATAATATATAGGCTAGAAAAATATTTATATAGTTCCTAATAGTCTAGAACTTTACCCAGAAATGGCTCTTTATTAGTAATACTTCTAATAATATAAGGTAATTAAATGAGCTAGTTATAAAATAACTAAATATATTAAGATAAGTATTATTTATTATTAAATATATTATTTTTGAAACCTCTTTCTTACTTTTAAGAGTAATACTAATAGAATTATTAAGTTTATTTACTATATAAATATTTTATATTCTTAAATTCTTATTTCTTAAAATAATACTATTATTTCTTAAAACCTATTCTAATACTATATATCCTATAGCCAAATACTAGTATAGTAATATCTAATATTACAAGTTTTATTAATTTACTAATAATAAACATAATATAGAGGCCGCTATTTTACTTACCTAAAGTAGTAATACTAGTAGACTTAAATCTTATAGCTTTGGAATTCCGTCTATATTTGTTTTCTTTTTTATATCTGAAATACTTTAGATTCCTAGCTTTTCTTAATATTCTTATTTTATATTTTTTTTTCTAGAAATATCTATTATACCTATTTCTCTAGTTATTATTACTATATAGCTACTAGATACTAGTTCTGCTTTACCCCAGGCTTCTCCTATTCTAATAGCCCTATAATTACTTCCTTTTATATTTCCTTTTACTATAAGCTATATTACTTAACCTAACTACTTTTCTAATAGTACTTATATTATTATATAAGCTTAACGGGCTATAAATACAAGAGTTACTCAGGCTACTATCTAGACTATAGCTTCTTATACTAGTAATAGGCTATCTAGAGCCCTTTAAGGTCTTATAAATTAAAATATAGCCGGATCTAGTTTTATAAAATTATATATTATGGTTTTATAGCTAGTTTTCTATAAGTAAGTATTTAATAATATAAAGAATTAAAGAGTTAAGTAAAGAACTATTTAACTTTCTAAAGAAGTTAATAGTAAGTTTTCTCTTATTTCTTTTACTAGATTCTCTATATAAATTCTAATAAATGTTTTTTAATAAGTGGCTTTTAATTTGAAATAAATAATTAAGTCTTTTCTACTTTTTCTAATATAGTTTCTTAGTAGCTATTCCCTTACTTCTCTCTTTATATTAGTAAATCTACCTATTATTATTAATTTATTAATAATATAAATAAACTAGTATTTTATACTAGTCCTAATAATAAAAGAGCCCAGGAACTTATAGTCTTACTAGGTTCTATTTAAACTATCGTTAATCTTTCCTATTATAATATATATCTGGACCCTAAAAATATCTAAATAATTTTCCTTGTTTTATACTAGGATAAGACTTTATATAAAGATATCTGTTTTAAAATTACTTATAAAGAGCTAGAAAATATTTAGAAAATATAATAACTTAAGAAAATTAAATAATAAACTAAGAAGGCCCAGAGAGCCCAGGAAAGTATTACCTGCTAGTATAGGTATAAGACTTTAAGAATAAGAAGGAATTTAATAAACTAGTAAGTAAATAAAGATATATATATAATTCTCTTTTTTAATTCTGGCTTTTATTCTTTATTTCTTCTATAGATTCTTTTTTGTTTTTAGGTTTAATTAACTTATATATACCAGGATTCTTCTTTATTTACTAATCTCTGAGAGCCGTAAGATAATACGGAAAGTACTATAGAAAGTACTACTAAAGCTAATCCTAATAGTAATAATAATAATATTAAAGCTATTAATAATAATAATAATAGTAATAGACTATTAGATTCTTTTTTAATTTTATTATTCTCTTCTCTAGTAAAGAGAACTATAATTAATCTTATAAACCGTATTAGTATTACTTTATAATAACGGGTATATTAAAAATATAAATATATTACTTTTCTTTTTTATTAGATATAAAGAATTAATAGATATAATATTTTTAGCTTTATAGGTAAAACCTAAGATATTCGGGCTATTACTAGTACTTTGCCTATTATACTAGATAGAAGTTTAACTATTATTATTAAATTCCCTAGCCTAATTAATCTTATTTCTCCTAAGTAAACCTATTATATAAAGTCTAATAAATTATATATAAATATTTACTAAAATTAAGGTAATTAAGAAAAAATAGGCCTGATATCTAATATATTTTTTCCTATATCTTGTAATTAGTTTAGTACTATTTTAGGTCTTATTTCCTTATAAATATATATATATTTGGAATTTATAATTAATAATTTAAAGTAATACTCTTTAATTAGTTCTTATATAATTTAAAAATCAGGCTATTAAATTTAATACTTTTATAATACTTAAATTTACCTAAGTTTATAAAGTCTTATAATTATTAGGGCCTTTATAATTCTTTGCCTTTTGAGTTTAATACCTAAATCATATTATATACTTTATCTTTAGTATAAAGGAAGCTTCTAAAAGTCTAGGATTATAAAGGAATTTTTATATTAAGAATATATTAAGGATATATTATATTATAATAATAAAATTACAGGTATTTATATATAAATATATAATATATTAGACTAGCTATACTAAAAACCATACTATATCTATATATAAAGTTACTAATTACTTTATATTAATACCGGACCCGCATAATCACGTGACTTCATATAATTAGCTAGCTATAGAAAAGCCCTAAAGCCCGAAACTCACGAAGAGTTTTAAGGGCTTTAGGGCTTTTGGACTATTACTAATACCTAGTACTTTTTAGGAAAAGAATATAATATATTTTATAATAAGTAATTTATTATAAATTACTTAATCTTTAAGTTAAGCGGGAAATCTAAGAGCCGGGCTTATAATTCAAGTCTTATTAAGGTTATTAAAGTCTTTACTAGCTAGTACTATAGATTTAATATAAATATTACGGGAATCCTATAGGTTCTATCCTAATTTATCTAGAAAACACATATAATATATTCCTATATTTATTTTATTAATATTTATATATGATTCCTGAGAACCGAACTATTACCTAAGAGAGAAGTAAGAAGGCTAGATTAATACCTTTAAAAACTAAGGCCTTAATAAATCTATCTAGAAAAGCTTACTAATTCTTCTAAAAATAATTCAAGCTCTAATAGGCCAGAAAATTTTGAGTTTATTATATATTATAACTTATATAACTAGAAATAGAAACTTGAATTTATTATATAAAATTACTTAGATATAGAAACTCCTGCTATAAACTTCTTATTTAGATTAATTAGTTAAACCTATTTTTAATACTAAGTCTTTATTAGGGTAATTTTCTATTTCTAGAGGCTTTAGATAAAATAGCTAATAAGTTTCTTAGCTATTAGCTAAGACTTATTAGCTAGAAAATCTATAAATAGTAAATAAGATTATAAAGTAGAACTTTCCTAATTATAATATTAAGATATTTTATTATAATATAAAGTAATTAGATATAAAAGCCCTATTAAATATAATATATCTCGAACTATAAGTTTATAAGATAGGTATAGGAAGTCTTAGTACTTAACTAGTACTATAGTCTAGCCTAAAAGCACCTGCTATTCTTTATATCTAATTTAATAGAAATAAGAAATATCTATATTTTAATTCAAGAGATAATTAGAACTTTTATATAGATTTAGGGTAGCGGTTTGTTTTATAAAAAGAGAATAGACTAGAAATACCTATATTATATTAATTTTTAAAAGGAATTATAATAAATATTATAACTCCTAAAATATTTTCGAGAAAGCTTTCCTAAACTAAAGTAAGCTAGTTTATAATCCCGAAAGATCTATAGGAGTCTTATATACCCGAAAGTATAAGTACTTAAGGTAAATACTATTTAAGTCCTAACCTATAATAAAAAGAAAATAAAATATATAAAATAAAATATATAAAGTAAAAGTAAAATAAAATACCCGGGTATTTAATAAATAGAAAGCCTAATTATAAGTTATAAGAACTAGTACTAACTAGATATATATATAGTAATATTAAAGGAAAGATAAAATAAGAGAAACTAAAAAGTAAATTAGTATATATTTTATAAAAGTAAATAGGAAGATATCTAAATAGCCTAAAGGCAAGAAATATATATTAAAGAAGTCGAGATTAGAGAAAGAAAAGCTATTTCTTATAAGAATAAGTTAGTATATATTTCAAGATAAAGAATAGAAGTACTTAGTAATAGTTTAAAGGCTTTTATAAGTATTAAAGAAAGAGAGGAAGTATTAAAGTTCGAAGGGATCTAAATAGGAGTTAGCCTCTCTTTTAGAAGTTCGAGAGAGAATACTTCTAAAGGGCCCGAAGGTATAAGAGATATTAGAAAAGGGAAAGAGATATTAAAGTTTAGAAAGATCTAAATAAGAGTTAGCTTCTTTTTTAGAAGTTTAAAAGAGGGTATTCCTAAAGGGCCTAAAGATATAAGAGATATTAGAAAAGGGAAAAAGGAGATATTAGAAAAGAGAAAAAGGGATCTAAAATTTAGCTTTCTAAGAAGTAAATAGGTTAAAGACTTATAGTATAGGAGTTCTAGATAAAAGTAACCTGGAAATAGTAATTAGGTATTAGTTTTTAGTATTATTAGTAGAAGTATTAAAAGAGGAAGGGTTCGGAGGAAGGGTTTAGAAAAGGAATTCGGAAGAGGGGTTTAGAGGGGTTTAGAGAAGGAGAGGAAGGTTATAAGATAATTAGATACTAGCTCTTAGTATTAATAGAAGATGTATTAAAGGAGGAGGGATTTAGAAGAGGAATTCGGAAGAGGGGTTTAGAGAAGAAGTAAAAAGAAGTAAGGAAAAGGAGAGGAAAGTTATAAGGTAATTAGATACTAGCTTTTAGTATTAATAGAAATATTAATAAAGGTATTAATAAAGGTATTAATAGAGAAGATATTAATAGAAAATAAAAGCTTTTAATATTACTAGTAAAGTCGAAAAAAATAGAAAAAAAATAGAGATTTTAAAATAAAAATAAAATAGAATTATAGTTTTATAGAAAATAAAGTTACTAGTATAAGATAGTTATATTATTATATAATTCTATATTTACTTTTACTATTTATTAAGAATATATATTTCTTAGGAAAAAGTATTATTTAGAATTCTTAAGCCTCTCTAATTTAATAACTATATATTTAAAAAATAAGAAATAAATATAATTATATATACTAGAATAAGGGAATTCTTCTTATTTAAAAATTATAATTATAGTATTACTAAATATAGAAATATTAAAGTTTATATAATAAGCTATATATAGAAATTTGAGGAAATTTAAATTACTTTAAATTATTTATAATTAGTAAAGTGAATTAGCTAATTATATAAATTAAGTATAGTTTAATTATTATTAGTATACCTTAGCTTTTATAAGTTAGTAAGAAAAAAAATATTTATATCTTTATTTTTATAACTATAATACCTAAATTTATAATTTTTTTAATATTTAAATATACTTAACCTAGGGCTATTAAGTATTAATATTTCTATTTTCAGGTATTATTTATTATAAATTTATTTGAATTTAAATAATTATATTAAATATATATTTTTATATCCTAAAAGTAAATAATAAAGATATAGCTATACTAGCTTTAATCTTAGCCTTAACCTTAACCTTAACCTCCTTCCGAAAATAACTTTAATTCTAATATATAATACTATTATTAAAGCTTTCTTTTATTAAAGATATATTAAATATGGCTTTAGGTAATAGCTCTAGTAAAGGCAAAAGTAGTAGAAAAGATAATAAAGCTATAAATAAGTAGAAAGATAATATTTATAATATATCCTTTAATAATTTAGATTTAGTTTATAATATTCTTTCCTATTAATATATTTAACTAATAAATTTCTCTATTTCTCGATCTCTTTTTTATATATAACTTCTTTTTTCTTTTCCGTAATAATACTTTAATCTCCTTATATTATCTAATAATACTACTAAAGTAATAAAGTGAATTAATAATAAGGCTAAAGTTAGAGAGATAGAACTATACTAGGGCAAGAAGCTAAAGAAATTAGAGAAAGGTAAGGTAAATCTAAAGGCAAGCTTAGTATATACTTGCGGAACCAAATTCTCTTAAGCTTATATTATTTATAATAATAAGAAGAGACTAAGGAGCTCTTTTAAATACTATATAATTATAAAAGGCGAATTTGATAGTACTTATATAAATTACAGATATAATAATAATAGTAAAGTTTATATTTTCTATTAACTTAATACTAATCCTACCAAGTCTAGAAAGCCTTGCTCTGTATTTATAAAACCCTTTATACTAAAGCCTTAACTGCCTATAAGATATAGAAAGCGAGTATAAAGACAGATATAAGATTAGAAGGTAATAAGGAAGGAGGTTATAGCAGAAGAGGGTGAGGATACTAGAGGAGAAGGGAATAAAGGAGATATAGATAATTCGAGTAATATAGGTAGTACGGAGGATATAGAGAGTAAGGGAAATAGAGATATGCCTCGTAATCCATGGGATTTGCCTTACGGACCACGCAAGCTAAGGGGGGGTTAGGAGTAGTCGAGAATAAGGTGTGTATGCTATACTTTTTTTTTTTAGTAGGGTATAGTAGGGGGGGGGGTGGGGGGGGGGGGGGGCGCGAAAAATCAGAAAATCACTTTTCGCTTCTCGGATTTGTCCGCTAGCCCGCTAATGGCCTCAGTACATTTGCCGGTCAGGGCGGAGAAACCTCTGCAAAAGCTGGGCGTGTTACGGGCTCAGCGCTCACGGAGGAGGATTCGCCGATGAGATTGTAGTGAAGCCGTTCAGTTGCATACCTGTTCCCGAAGGAGTATCGCTAAAGGTTGCTGCGCTTGCAGAGCCCCTAGCCGTTGCATCCCATATGATTCGAATCTCTGGGTTTAACCACGGCAATGACGTGGTTGTTCTAGGCGCAGGTCCCATAGGACTCGCTCTGCTTCTCTTGCTGAGGGCTAAGGGCGCGAGAAAAGTCATTGTGAGCGAAGTGACCGAATCAAGATCTCGCCAGGCTGAGAAGTTTGGGGCCGATTTGGTCGTCAATCCGCTCGCAAAAATGTCGGACGGTGCTGGCTCTGGAAATTCAATTGTGGACGCCGCGCACAATATCATGGGAGATGGAGCGGACATTGTTTTTGATGCAACAGGTATTCAGTCGACCCTAGACACTGCCCTGTTGGTAGCCAAACCCGGTGGTGTGGTTTGCAACGTTGCAATCCACGAAAAGCCCTTGCTCATTAACCCAAATAGTTTCTCATTCAAGGAGGTCAAGCTGATAGGCGGCATCTGCTACACCAACGAGGATTTTGAGGATGTTCTCGTGGCCCTTGCGACTGGCAAGTTGGCGGTCGAGGATATGATCACGTCAATTGTGCCTCTTGAAAAGGTTGTTCAAGGCGGCTTCTTAGAGCTCATTAATAACAAGGCGGAGCATGTGAAGATTCTCATTCAGCCCTCAAACTCTGGAGATCTGTAGAAATGCAATTGCAACCAATTCAACGTATTTCCAATACTTCATCTTTGAAAATACCCACTTAGAGGTGTCATGTTTCTCGTCAAGTGCAACCCGAGGAGCGCGTACGGAGAGCTGGCCCATGGGTCATGGAGGTGAAACACGGCTGGGCCCAACATTTTCGTTTTAAGTATTTGTAAAGGTCAGAGCTCTCTACCCGATCTCATGTTTTCTCAGACGATATGAGGTGTACTACCCGACATAACCGAAGGGTATATGTCTCGCTCCGGCACAGATCAACACTACCAACTCCGCAATTGACTAAAGAGCGGGGAATGAGATACTACATTGTTTGGTGGCTTGTGCCTGATCCGATGGACGATAAATAGTCCTTTGATATCAAGTATGAATGATAGTCGGCTACAGAAGAAGAATTAATTTCCTTGCGTATTCACACACCACCCAACACTGTTTCCAAAAAGTTGTATTGCTCAAGACTTGGGGACTGACCCTTGAGTCCTATTCTCGTTCGTATTCTTCCCGCTACTCCTTTTTAAGTACCGCAATACTAAATACCCACAGATTCTGAACATCTTCCACTCCCTTCATCATGTGGATTACCGAACTTGAAGGCCGTTCCCTAACTATTGGCATCACCGTAACATGCGGCGTCGCTTTCATGCTCTTTGGCTTTGACCAGGGAGTCTTTGGGGGTATTCTTGGCAACCCACGGTTCATGTCGACCTTCAAAAATCCGACGCCTACCATTCAAGGCCAGATTGTGTCAACCTACGACATAGGCTGCATCCTTGGAGCACTCATGACCATTTTTATCGGTGACCATCTGGGCAGGAAGAGGACGATCATGTTGGCATGTCTCTTTGTCATTATCGGCGGCGCCCTGCAAGCTTCGTCGTTCTCCCTCCCGCACATGATTATTGCCAGAGTCATCGGCGGGCTGGGGATTGGTATGGAGTCAGCCGCCATTCCCATGTGGCAGAGCGAGACGTGTAAACCTCAGCATCGCGGCAAACTCGTCGCCCTTCAGCTCGTGCTCGTCATCGGCGGCATTGTCCTGACCGAGTGGATGAATCTTGGCTTCTCTTATATCTCGGACAAACCTGTTAGCTGGAGGTTCCCGCTCTCCTTCCAATGTTTCTTCGCCATTCTGGCCATATTTATGGTTGCATGCATGCCTGAGTCTCCTCGATGGCTCTGCTTGAAAGAGCGAAACGACGAAGCTCAAGTGGTTATTGCTCGCCTCATGGCAAAACCGGTTGACAGCGACGAGGTCGTCGAATCCCTCCAGCTGATCATAGGAACAGTCGCTCACGAAAAAGAACTCGAAAATGTCGGCTGGCGCGAGATATTTTCAAACGGGGAGCAGCAGACCTTCCGCAGAATTTGCTGGGTGCCGGATGCTCGCTGTTCCAGCAGATGGGTGGTATCAACGTTGTTGTGTACTACCTCCCCGTAATTCTAACGCAGTCTTTTGGCTTCAGCAATCAACTGGCCTTGATTCTCACGGCGGTTGACTTCATATCCTTGATGATTTGGGGCAGTGTGGTCATGCTCGCTATCGACAGGTGGGGACGTAGAAAGCTCATGCTCTTGGGTGCTTTCGGAATGGGGTGCTCCTTCACCGTTGCTGTCATAGGCTTGGCGCTTAAGACAAAAGCCTCTTATGCGGTTGCTGTGACTGGCATCTTTGTCTACAATGTCTTTTTTGTAAGTCCCTCCCTTCTTCAAAATGAACTCACCTTACCTTCATAACTTTGGACGCGGCTAACCATTTCCAGGGAATATCGTTCCTCTCCATTCCGTTCAGTTATCCTTCCGAGATCAATTCGCAGCGCCATCGAAACCTGGGGGCGTCTGTTGCTATGATGACGCAATGGCTCTTTGTCTATGTTATCGTTCTCATCACACCAATTGGTATGTCCTGCGTCATTCGAATAAAATTCTTTGCAGTTATCCACCCCTAACTCCAGGCTCATGATCCTTGATGAAATAATGTTTCAACACACCCGCTGACTTACTACAGGAATTGCCAATATCGGCTGGAGGTTCTACATCATCTTCGCTGTGTTGAATTTTGTCTGGGTGCCCATCATCTATTACTTCTACATCGAGACGGCAGGGCTCTCCCTTGAGGAGATCGACAAGCTCTTTGAGATCCACTACACGGGAGGCAAAGGCATGACTTGGAAGGAAGCAACGCGTCTCGCGAAGGAGCACATCGCCCTCACCAAGATTCAGATCCACGACAAAACTCAACTCGCTCACAACGCGGAAGTTGATCATGTTGAGAGTGACGAGAAAGGCGCCTCTGTTGAGCGAATTTCTGTGTAGAGACTATAATTGGTGGTCTATGTTGAGGACTACTCGTGTTCTCACTCGCCCCAACCTCTAAGCCTGCGTCTCCGGTCGCTGTCTTCACCCAAGGTTGCCTCGCTGGCGGACAACGGCTATCGAAAGACGAGACCTCATAAGATTTCCTGAGGTGACTGCCGGCAGCCGTACAATTTCCTGGTAGCACGATTTTCTTTTCATCCTTGGGTTCAAGCACATGGTAGAAGTTCCCACTAGCACTGGAGAGTTGTATAAAGAAGGTTAAATAAATGAAGCTTTCCAACCCTGACAGGTCTGGCGGATTGTGACGTGAACCCTTCCCTTTTTATAGCGGATTGGCAAATATGGTAGATTAGACAATGCTATCTCTAATCTTAGCACCATGCATGTTATTGTACTGTAACGCTGAAGAGGCTTCTCTTCTTTCTCTCCTTAGCTTGCCCTGTCTTCCCGGCCTCGAATTGGCTCCGTGATAGTCCCATAGGTGCACTCTCTTAAAAACCCGGAGAACGAGCATTACCTCTATCATTTAAAGTAAATTCTCAATTCAGTACTACCGAATTCTGGCACCTAAATCTCTTCACAAGCATTTCATGGTATTCTGGGCAATAAAACAGTTCAAGATCCTAGTTACTAGACATTAGGCATAGCATCACCGAACTTCGCCACTGGAGGAATCATGGAAATCAAAGTCAGCATGGACTTGGCCTTCATTATTCTTGACTTGAATGACTTCGTTTGAACTATTTGCTATCTGAGTATTTACCCTACATGTAAATTCCCCAAAGTGATATTCTTGATAACCTGAAATTCCGCCAATCCGTACTTACTCCCTTCTCTCCCAAGTCCACTCTCTTTGATACCACCAAACGGCGCCTCGCACGCGCTGATCACTCCAGTATTAACGCCAACCATACCTACCTCGAGGGCGTTTGCTACCCTCCAAATCTTTCTCAGGTCATTCGAGAATAAGTATCCTGCTAGCCCAAACTCCGTATCGTTCGCCTGAGCAACAACATCATCTTCCATCTCGAACTTGAACAAGGGCGCCAGCGGCCCAAATGTCTCCTCCCGCGCGACCAACATCTTAGAGGTGACGCCTGTGAGCAGAGCCGGCTGAATCAAATAGCCCGCAGCATCAGGACTCTTTCTGCCCACGACAAGCATTGCCCCCTTGGAAACAGCATCGTCAATGTGCTCCTTAGTCTTCTTCACCGCGGCCTCATTGATGAGCGGTCCATGCGTGACACTCGGATCGAGCCCGCTGCCGATCTTGAACCCTGCCATACACTCCTTCAACTTCTCGACAAACTCATCGTGAATCCCGCTCTGGATATAGAGTCTATTCGCGCATACACATGTCTGCCCACTGCATCGGAATTTGCAAGCAAGCACACCCGCAACAGCAATATCCATATCGGCGTCATTAAATACGATATACGGCGCGTTCCCACCGAGCTCTATGCTGACTTTCTTTATTGTCTTGGCTGCCTTTTCGGTGATCATTTTTCCAACTCCAGTCGAACCTGTGAAGCTGATTTTTTTAATCAGAGGGTGTGTATATAGCTCTGTCACCGCGTTTCGATCCTTCGTCGTAACGACTTGAATCACATTCGGTGGAATACCGGCTTGCATAGCGAGAGCCGTCAATGCGAGTGTGCAGAGCGGTGTCTCACTGGGTGGCTTGACAACTACTGTACACCCGGCTGCAATTGCGGGTGAAATCTTTCGCGTGATCATGGCGATGGGGAAATTCCAAGGGGTAATAATGCCACAGACTCCTATAGGCTGACGAATAACGATATTCGTGCTACCGAGATGTCGAGATGGGATCACATCGCCATAAGAACGTACCGCTTCCTCCGCGAACCACGTAATGAATGATGCGCCATATTCAACCTCAGCCTCTGCTTCTGCCAATGTCTTTCCGTTCTCCATAGTCAAGATCACGCCGAGATCTTTGGCATGTTGGCGGATGAGTGCTGCCCAAGCATGGAGCATCTTTGCTCGGGCAGTCTCCTGTGTAGTTTTGAACACTTTGAAGGATTTGTGGGCATGTTCAATAGCGGTGGTGAAATCCTTAATAGTGAGATTTGCGACATTGGCGATGACTTTATCGGTGGCGGGATCGTAGACGGGGAAAGTGCTGTTGCTGCCCACCCACTCACCGCCAACGAAAGCTTTATCGTGGAGAATGGAGCTGTCCTGGAGAGCTTCTTTAATGCTGGATGGATGCGTAAAAAATGTATTGGTTTTGCCCATGATGAATGTTGCAGAAGTTGAACGTGAAGACCGTTGTAGAAGAGGTTTCAGTTATATCGGTCCTCTTCAAAGACCCTGCCGTCAAGATTGGGGGAAAACAGGAGAGCGATTTTTTTTTGCCCTTCTCATGCGATAAGGTAAAACAATCTACGAAAGCCGCACTTTCGGTTATGTCTTTTGTAAATTGATATAGCCGCTTGGAGGCGCATATGCCGACGCGGAGTACGAGAAAATCCTAGCTTCGATTTCTCGCACCGGCCAACCTCGTGTATTTTAGAGGTCCAGAACTCATTGGTTCCGCTTTCATTCGGTTGTTCAGATGTCGAGGGTGGTTGCCAGATTGTAAATCACATGGCTGAGAAATGGGGCGGACAGTGTTCGGCATTAGGTTGGACCTATCCAACCTACACCCCTTGTAGGTGGGTAACCTAACCTAATTTGAGGGCTGTAGGTAGGTTAACCTACATACAAATTTTGATAGGCTGAATAGGTTCAACCTATGACCTATACCAAACCTAAACCTAAATAAATCCTTTAGGTAGGTAACCTGCGGTTGGTTACCTAGGTTGGACCTATGAAACTCAACCTAATGCCGAACACTGGGGGCGAAGGCGAAGTAGCGACTAGTGCGTAGAGCAATTCTCCCTCATTGTGCTACAGTAACTTCATTTACATGACATCCTCCGAATTGTGTAACTCTCGAGTTATAGCCTTAATATTCAATTTGGATGCGAGTTCCTTTTGTATACATTTGTTTTCCTGGAATCTGGAAACTGCGTACATGATGGACATCTTCAGGAACGCATGGCTTCAAGGTTGGGGAGAGGATATCCCCCAATACTCTCAAAGAGGCTTCCCGCACTTGCCATTAAATGTACAACATCATCTCCCAGCCACTGGCCCAAAAGAGCTTTCTGCGTAAATTCCATTTCTCTGATAATGGGGCCGCAAGTCTAGATGATTCCAATTAGCTCAGAGTAACGTTTTAATGTACCGAGCAGTACTATACTTACCAAATAGCAGGCTCCCTTCCTCTCAGGATCCTGGGAGAGAGTTGCAATGACCTTTGCCACCTGCTGCGTCGTATTGCTCGGGAGGCCGCTGTCGGTCCATTGCTTCGCAAAGCCAACCATGCTCGTGGGCGTGACGAAGGGAGCAACAGCATTGACTCTAATGTTGTGCTGCGCTGCCACGAGCTGAGATGACCGCAGCAAGCCCGTGATGGCATGCTTTGAAGAAACATATGCTGCGACACCAGTGCCTCCAACATATCCAGATGTGGAGATGACGAGGATAATGGAGCCCTTTGACCCACCTGGGAAGCGCTCTTTGTTGTCCTTCATGTAATGAAGACCCAATCTCAATGCTGCAAGAAGCTGTCAAATGACAAGAAGCGGCAAATAAAAGATTTCGGAACTTACTATTCAGGGTGCCTTTCACGTTGACATCGATGACCTTAGAGGCCTCCGTAGCTTCTAGATCTCCATTTGTGTCAACAGTTTCAACATCTAGTGTCATATGACTCTCCATCACTCCCGCATTCGCAACGACTACCCCTACGCTCCCAAATGTGTTGATTGCCGTCTTAAATAGTTTCTTCATCTCACTCCAAATGTGTGTATTGGCCTGAGCGAAGATGGCCCGTGATGGATCAGGCAAGGTGGCAATCAGACTTTCTGCTGCGAAGCGCGAATGTTCGAGGTCTGCAACCACCACGTTTGCACCGTGGTAGGCGTACAGTCGTACAATATCCATACCTATCCCTCCAGCTGCGCCAGTGATCACTACAGTTTTTCCTTTGATGTTACTGAGCAAGGCCGATTCAAGCTCTATAGACGCCATGTTTGGATGTAATAAAGCGGTAATCAACGGAATGAAGAAAATAGGAAGCAAAACGAGACGCAATTTCTTCCTCGAGGTTTGGGCTAATATGTTGTGAGCAAAAGAAGCTAACGATTAGGAAGTTTGGTGACCAGGAAAGATAGAGAGCGCTCAAATACCTGCTGAACAAGCCCTCCCGTACCCTCAGAGATTGACTTGGTCGTTACTGCACCGTGGTTCTGCCCAGATGGTACAACTTAGTGCGTCTCCAGTAATCCCACAACGAGGGGATAGTGGCAGTTCTCAACACAACAGTGGAGTTGTGCTTGATGCGGCCCTTGCAGAAATTCCGGAAGAGGGCTATTCAACGGGCGACACCTACCGGCTTGTATCGATACTCCCCGCAAGCCCCGCATGTCTCAAGGGAGATGTAGCGCCGCAAGACTTACCCGCACGAAGTAGCCGAGCGACGAATGACGGTTCCTGATTCAATCGATACCATATGTCCGTGAGGAATGCAGCGTGCCAATAATACCAATTGCTTGCTCCCCGCGATTTTGTCGTCAGTTAAGCTGTGGAGATTGGGGTCGTCTTCCGAACCCGTAGTTGTGCTTTCGGCTATGCATTCGAGCCTTATATATTAGGTATTTAAGCCACTTCCGATGTCTTATTCCAGCGTGCATCCACCCGTGAACTCTACACACGTCCGACTGAAATAGCCCCCGATGAGTCGGTATTCTCGCCAAAGAATATTTGGCAATTTACGCAGGCGATGAATAATGAAGAAACTTCTCGGGTTGGGTCAGTGCGGGATGGTGTAAATTTGATTCGGTTAAGGGGAAAAACTAAAATGACCCCCTCGGGTGTCGATTAGGGGTGTCGATTGGGGCAGGGGTGTCGACGACTTGTAATTGGCTACCTAAGCTCTTTAAAAATCTTAAGTTAGATTTTTTAATATAAGTATAAGCTAGTATATTATAAATCTTAAATTGTAGTTACGTGCTTCCTAACTTATAATAAAGAGATTTCTTAAAATAGTATTTCAATTTAAAAGAGTTTATATACTAATTAATTAAGTTTTAGTATTTAAGCCTTATAAAGCCCTATAAACTACAAGCTTATAAAGCTCTTATATCTGGTTTTAGGAACTTATTTACTAAATTTCTAGGTTTTTTTAAGCTTATGTTTAGGCTTTAAAATATGTGTTTTTCTAATTTATTTAATTTAAAAAACTATTATTAATTCGAATTTTATAAATTTTTTATATTTAAATAGGTTTTAATTAATATAATAATTAAATAAAATAACTTTAATTTATATTAATTCCTTATTAAATTAAAGAAAAAGCCAAAGTTTTAGTATTTCTATTTAAATATCTTTATTTTAGATTATTATAATAGCTAGTTTACTCTTAATTAATATCCCTAATTAATATCTAAAAGAGAGGGTATTATTTTAGTTTTTTCTCAATTAAGTTAAAAAGCTTTATAAGTTAATAATTAATACTAAAATATATTTATTAATTATTATATAATACTAAAACCTCTCTTTCTCTTAATACTTTATATATACCTATATTATATATTTAGGGACTTAGTTTCTAGATATATTTTATTTCTATATAAGTTTTTCTAGAATATTTAATTTATATTTCTTAAAAAGTATATTTATTATTATATTACTAATTTATTAAATATATAAAGCTAGAATATAATTTTTTGTAATATATTAATAATTTATATAATATATTTCTTAAAAACTTAAAAAGTTATAATTTTATAGCTTTTATATTAGTTTTTTTTATTATATTTCTATTATATTTTCTTATACTATTAATAATTCTTTTAATTAACTTAAACGAAATTATATATATATATTTTAAATTATTTGTTTTTTAATAAATAAGTCTTTTTTATATATTTTTTCTTTAATATTTTCTTAATATATTTTTATAAATTTAATTTAAAAATATATTTCTTATAACTTTACTTTAATATTAATTATTTATATAATTATATCCTAAAGCTTATATTATTTATTATTATTATTATTATTATTATTATTATTATTATTATTATTATTATTATTATTATTATTATTATTATTATTATTATTATTATTATTATTATTATTATTTATTATTATTATTATTATTATTATTATTATTATTATTATTATTATTATTATTATTATTATTATTATTATTATTATTATTATTATTATTATTATTATTATTATTAATACTAAACCCGAATTTCTATTAGTTAATATTTATTACTATAGCTAGAAAGCTTATTAGAAAAGTAATAAAAAAATATTTTAAAATATAAAAATGTAATAAAACTAATAGTAGTTCTAATTATTACAAAACCGGACTCTGGGCTTAGTAAGCAGGTAGAGTAGCTCTTAATCCGAGGATTCTAAACTAAGGAAAAAAGCTCTAAGTATAGGAGCTTTAGTATTCTAAATACTAGCTACAGCCGCATGCATTATCGCGGTCACGTGACGCTAAATTTACTAATGAAGCAGTAAAGCATAATACTAATTATAATTTTTTTTTAATATTTATAAATAAATAAAGCTTCTAGAAAAGATAGTAATAAAAGCTTTTTCTATTATATTAAAGGAACTAATATAAGACTACTTTTATAATAACTACTTCTCGAACTATATATATAAGAAGACCTATATAAATATTTATAATTTTTTTAAAAGCTCTGGTTTTTATTATTAAAATTTAGATAAATAAAATATTATTATTTTAATAATTATAATAATAAAAGATTTTTTTAAAAAATATATTTGAGCTTATTTAAATACTAATTAATAATTTATATAAATTATAATATAGCCTTATTTCTATTTTATAAAATATTAAATTCTTATTATTAATATAGCTATTTCTTTAGGAGTTATATATATAGTTATGGGATATAAAATATAGAATATAAGTAATAGGATATAAGTAATAAGATATGAAATACGGGATATAGTTATATAACCTTGCATTCTATTAGTAACTTGACTAGTAAACTAGATCCCTTTAGGCTTAGTAGATTTAGGAATTATATATTAATATTATAATACTATAATTTTCATTTCTAAATAATAATAACTTTACTAACTAATATAACTAGTATTTCTATATCTATATAATAATATTATATATTACTAATAAACTAATACTAATTGGTTTATATATATAGATTAGAAAAGATTTTAGATTAGTATAGTATAGCAAGCCATATTTATTAAAAATCATATTATTTTAGTAGTTTTAAGATTTAGATTATATAGTAAAGGCCGCGGCCTTTTATATATAACTTATAGAAATTATATAAGAAAGCTAGTTTTTTTATAAACTTAGAGAATAATTCTTTATATATATTTAATTAATTAAGCTTTTATATACTATATACTATTTATACTTTATTATTTATATTTTTGATTTATTATTTTATTATTAAGTTATATTTTGTATTCTAGTATACTTTATATAGGTTTTTGTCTTATTATAGTTTCCCTCTTATATATTTTATAATAAGTAATATAGGAAGAATAGAAACTTTATAATTAAGGTAATACTCTTATAAAGTTCTAAGAAATATCTATAAGGCAAATTATTAGTTTAGTAAGTTAGAAAAGAAAAGGACTATTATAATACCTTAAGCCTAAGGCTAAAATATTAAAGATATATAAGTATTAAACTTAATATCTTATATTAATTTCTAATATACCTAATAACTTAGATATAGATTAGCTATAAGATATAGTTATTAGTATAGTATATAGAAGTAGTAGAAATAGAGGCTAATTATAGAAAGAAAAGAAATAGAGGAAATAAAATAAGAAAAATTATACTAAGATAATATAAGTTAGACCTTAGTTAGAAACAGACTTTAGTACTCGGAAATAAAATTATACTATTAATTTATATATTATTTTTAGTTATAATAAAGACCGGAATAAAGGTAATATTAGTTTTAGTAGAAAAGCTTATTTCTAAATCCGGAAAAAATACCTAAAAGAGGAAATATCCTTAATTTTAAGTAAAATAGTAAATAGAAATTAGAAATAAATATTAAAAAGAAATCAGAAATAAGAAATTATATAAATAAACTAGAAAAGCTTCTAGAAAAAGAAATAGATACTAAATAAAAAAACAAAAAAGAATTCAGAAAAGTCAGAAAAATTAGTAAAATTATATTTATTATTTTTATTATTACCTTTAATAATATTAATAGATATATCTAGTTTAGTAAAATTAAGGGAAAATACTATAGGTATTAAGCTAAAGAAATAGGAAAGAGAATATAAGTAATAAGAATAAGACTAGAAAAGCTATTACCTTATTATTACTAATACTAAAACTCAAACCTTAATTATATTTATTATTATTAACTGGTTTCTCTTTAATTCTGGTTCTTAAATTAAAAGATATATTTAAATAGGAAGTTAGCTTTTTAGGAATCTTATTAATAGAAATCTCAGGTATAGAAACTTTATAATTAATTATAAAGGAAATTATTAAGATTAATATAGCTAAAAATAAGTATATACTAGTACTAGGTTTAAATCTATTATTTACGGGAGCTTCTAGAATACTATAATTTCAGGAAAGTAATATTTCTATATTCTTGAAATAGTATATAGATATATATAAGAACTATTATATTCCTAATAATACTAAGAAAAAGAGAATTATTTATTATATCTCTCCTATTTATAAAAATTAGATTAAGGCTATACTAGAATACTATACTAATAACCCAGAAAATTATTAGAAGACTAAGTTCTTTAAAGCCTTATTAAAGAAATTCCGAGAATATAACTAGAAAATACTTAAAATTAGCTATAACTTTCTTAATTAGATTATTATATAAGCCTAGAATAAAGGAATTTCTTTTAAGACTTATATTAATATATTTAATAAAATATTAAAGAAATTACTAAAGAGAAAAGAAATAGATAAAATTATTTAGTATTAAGAATTTATAAGGGAATTATCTATTCTAGTAAAAGATTATATTCTTAAAAATATAAACTTTAAGCCTATAAATATTTCTACTTATAAATATAGTAAGATATATAAGAAAATAATAATATTCTATTAGTATAAAAAGAAGAAATATTATTTTAATATTACTAATAACCCAAATATATCTAGACTTAAATAAGAATACTTGAATATAGTAGTCTATAATATAGTTTCTAAACTAGAAAATAATTATTCTTTACTA